ACTTGTCTGATAATGTAGGCGGGTGCGGTTCTCGAGGGACCTGTTGCGCTCTCTCGCGCTGTCTGTCTCTCTCTGCTTCTCTCTCCATCTCCCTCTTCGTGGAGCGCTCGTAAATTCACGCGCAGGATGTTGTCCTGGTGAAAATCTTGGCTTTGACGTCTTTATGACACGACGTTGACGTTTAATCGATATTCTCTGCGCTTCTCGCATCCGACATCTGACGCAAGCGTACAACGCCCTCCGACTCGTTGACGTTGCCCTGTGTACATTTACCCTCGTGTCAGTGGATAGAAATTACAAATTTTATCATATGGGTAAATTTTTTAAATGGACAATTTTTAAGATTTCAGGATTTTGCTCTATTCTTTGTCGTAGTAGAATTATAATTATCCGAATGAAAATCACCCTTGCTGCAGCCATCGAAAAATTGTTTGCAAGGTATCCCTTGTATCGGTGGACTTGAAATTAAAATGTAAATAAACCATAGAGGCTGCAAGTGGAATTTTTTCAAGCTATTTTTTACACATGTGCTTTAAATTCATCGCTGCGCCAACTTGTCACCGGAGCAGGGTATCATGCACGCCATGCATCCTTGACATATCGATTTGTATATTTTTCCATTTCCACCCCTCGCACCTAGCATCCAGCGCTTGTGTATACCCACGTTTCTACCTGTATGCTCGACGAGTTCACGTAGTTTCTCCTCTTCTTCTTTGCCATGGGTCTGCACGAGTGATACATACGTATGGTACGCGCGTGTGTGTACATTGTGAGAATTTGTATACGTATATTTATTTATGTGTACACGTGGGCGAAAAATATAGGCGTTGCTGGCGTCTGAAAAATATCCGGCGAGCATGTATGACTGATTGGGTTCGACGAATGTAAAGAATAACCGATAACATACACATACGCGTACGAGAGTTCGATTCCGTGTATTTCCGATACAGCTCTGCGGATATACTCGTACGCACACAGGCGCGGATTTTTCTTATCGACGCGTCGCACAGGTCCACATCGTGCCTGGAGTGGGTCGATCGCGTCTGAAATACGACTTTTCCATCGGTCTTGGCCTTGCCGCGAGCTTCCGACGCTCGTGGCGGCGTTTCGAATTATTTCCTTCGCTCGAGAGCGTAGGAATGACGAGAAAGACACTTTGGACATCGATTTACTGTCACCTCTTAACGTTTACGACATCTCACGGAGGCCCTAAACTACCAGGATTGCATCCCGCTGTCGCGCGTAAGTCCGTCGCCGCACACACACACACACACACGCATACACACGCCTGCAGGGCCAATCGGAATTTCGCTCAACACAAGTATAGGCGCCGAACGCGTACACAATGGAGCCAACATCGTATATACATAGACAGGCGGGCGCTGGCGCGCAGGTTTGGCAATGTTCACGCACATGCTTTCTGGATAGCTCGTTGAAAAGTACAACTCGATGCGGGCATGAGGCGCGCATGAGGCGCAGCAGCGTGTCGACTCGTTCTCGCCTCTCCGAGCTCCGGCTTTTCGATATTATTATATTTCGCGTGTATACGATTCCCCACCTCTCTCGGGCGGCAACCGCGCCCAACGTCGTGCGCAGCTCGACGCGCATATAATACAAAGTACAGACTATACAGAAGACTCGCGTATGGAGCGCAGAGCGCTGCGCGGCGACGGCGACTTCTATTCGCCTGATCGTCGAGCCAAACACTTTTCCAGATCACAATGGGAATTTTTCTAAAACGCGACGAGGACGGGGCCGCGCCGATCGCGGCTACCACTACATATCCCCAATTATTATTATAAGGGCTTCGTCGATGTACAGCACGGCGCACGCACGGCGATCTCGCGCTCGCAATACACACGTTACACTCGAGCTCGAGCAGCACACGCTGTACGCGCGTATACGTCGACGAGTTTTGAGTGCGCACGACGAGCGCGCGTGGAATCGCGCTTATGCATAATGCGAGCTTCGATTGGACTATGGACTCCTGATAAATGAGGAGACTGGGGGAGTCCCTAGGGATAACTTAACTTGGGATTTTCGATGGACCGGGATGCTGCGCTTTGTTTGTTTTGGTTTCGTCGAATACGAATGTGTAGGCGCGCAGGTATCGGCGAAGCATCTCTCTCTCTCTCTTTCTGTCTCTGCGCGGCACTCGCACGTGAGCTCGACTCGTTCGCTGCGCTGCACCCGATACACGAGGTGTACTACGCATACCTACGGGTCTCTCTTTGAACTCCGAACTCCGAACTGCCATCGCGCCGATACGTTCGCATCCCGTATGGATAATTTGCGTGCGCACTTGGGACACTGCAGCTAGATATGTACTACACGCAGCATACCAGGCCGCCTGTTCTAGTCTCCTAAACGTTCGATAGTTAGCTGAAATTACTCCGTGATTGGTTCCGTCACCTTGGGAACTTCTGTGAACCTGTTCCCTGCTCATCAAACATGCAATCGTATACCTATATGCGGCGCTTATAGTCTCGGCGGAGGCCGACAATCGCAGCCTGAGATATAGCTCGGCTTTCGTGCTTGCAGCACGCATTACCTAAAACAACTATAAGACGTTCGGAAACAGGGTGGAGCTTCAATCGGCTGTCGATGGCTCATCAATCGAGAATCCAGGCGCACGACCAGTTTTTTATCAGGCGAACAGCACCCGAGTGCTGGCTAAATGGCTCACACCACCGCCTGCGCCGACTACGTACACACACACCACACATATATACACACATCGTACGAATAGAAAGAGAGAGAGAGAGAGAGAGAGAGAGAAGCGTTAGATGTGCGCAGAGCAACGGCTGCGGCGGTCTGGCAGCAAATGGAACTACGCCAAAACCATGTGACGCTGCGTCCTTGCCAGGATCAGGGTGCCAGTGCTCGAGAGTTAGTTTACAACAGCCCTTGCACACGAGCGCACGTGTGTACATATAGATGTAGTATACATATAGGGGTGCGTCGAGTCTACATATATAAACGCGGGGGTTGAACGCACACACCAGCAGCTCTTACTGCTTTTATACAGCCTGATGCGAAACGAGCCTTACTTCCTACCCCCTCTTTGTACTTGCTCTTGTACAACGAATATTTTCCTGACAATCGACAGAAATCGTCGTCGAGACAATGACGTCGCGAGCGAGCATCTCGCCATTCAGTCAAATGAGCCATTCAACCCTTTGAAACGTAATATCAATCAATGAAATTTAATTCCACCGTATAGGATTTCCTCGATGATAAATTTGCTCGAATATCTGTAATATATTTGTTGTTTATCTTTCAAATGTCAAGCATGTCTCGGTAGCAATGAAAGTCGTGCGCGTTTGCAAATTGGCAGAGTCTCAAAAAATACATTTGAACTAAAGTGTATAAGCTCGAAAATATACTTGTTAAAGTCAATGAGATATGTGAGCAGCTACTTATTAGCTCTACTTCGTACTTGCCTCTAAACGAGTAAACAAAACTTTACGTTTGGAGACTTACGAGAGACTTAACGGAGTGCTTTTTATTGTATTATTAATTATGATTGAAAGTTGTTTATACAAGTACTAAATCGTTTCACTATCCGTAACACTGACTCACGATGTGGTTGTAAATTATCTACATTTGACTAAATGCATTTTATTACCAAAGGGTTGCGTATATGGTGGGGAAAAAGAGATCGGCCAATCGAATGGCTCCGATACACTCGTGCGGAGTAACGCGAGAGAAAGAAAGATGGGCTTATATAGCGTGTACATGCGAGCTGAGCCAATGCCACATATCAATACTCGTTCGAGGCCTCACCCCTCGTGCGCACAACAGCAGCAGCAGCAGTGCACACATACAAATATCGAAAAATTCAAACTTGGCTGGCGGCAGTACATGACGCTGGTATTACGCGCGGGGCCGTCATCGTGGCTCTGGGCGCTCCGCCCCCGCAGCAGTCGATGCGCGCGCTGAAGAAAAAAAGAAGCGCCACTGCCGCTGCTGGCTCTGCTGCTGCTATATGCGTGCGTAGCATGGAAGGCAAAGAAACGACCCCCCATCAGTGGAGTCATCCTGCCGACGGAGGGGTCGGTGCGGGGGTCACACACACAGACACACAGACACAGACACGCACTCGTGTGTGCACCCCAGGCGCGTACACGGAGCAGCCCTCCTGCGCCGTGCTAAAATCCTGGCACGTCGAGACGCGCGTCCGTCTTGCTCAGTTGGCCACGTAAGGAAAGGCCAGGCGCGCGGACAATAAGGCGACGGCCGCGCACCCGTAGGACTGGCCGGCCGGCCGCGCATGTAAGGGGCCGTCGTCGCATCGGCCGGAGCAGCGGAGACGCGCCGGGGCGCAGCGACGGACAAAAAAAATTGTGCGCGCGCGAGACGAAAAAAATGCACTGCCCCCTTGGCTAGCCTCTTGGCCGAGCGGGATGCCATGACGCGGATGCTGGTACGTTATATCGCACGACCCCCCGCGCGTCTCTGTGAGCGAGTCGGCTCTCTTGTATTTGTATAGGATGTACGTGTGCGAGCTGTACGAGCTGGCGGACGAGAGGAAGGGTGAGGGGCGTTCATCATCGTTTTCTTTCTCACCCACGCTACTCCGCTCTCTCGCATACCTGCTATATACGTGTATATAAAAGCTACCCCTACAGCTTTTTCAATAACGCTACAAAAGCTGGTAGCCCGTGCGCCGGGGTGGAGCTTCGCTGCGATGGTGAAAAAGGATGGATGGGGCACTGCGAGTTGGAGTAGAGAGCTTGTTTCACTTATATATGCCGTACTGGCTGCGGAGGGGAAAAAACAACTCGTAGCGAGGGGCAACTTTCGTCGACCCAACTAAAATTGGCCTTTTTAAACGTCGACATTTTCCAATTGTTTAATTAAAATTGAAATTTATTTATCAAATCCGTTTCATGCATTTGACTACATTTGCAGATTTAAATGAGTTGTCAACTATAAAAAGTTATAGCGATAAACAATGTTTGCCAATGAGCATCGATTGACTTGAGAATGTTTTGCAGGTGTCAGTTACGAAGATGCTCTCAGAGATGGAGTCATTTTGTGCATGCTCATGAATAACCTTCAACCCGGTCTAATTCACAAGATCAACACCACAGGTGGAGATTACAAAATGATGGACAATCTGAATCAGTAAGTTCGTTAAATTTAATTAAATTTATATAATTGTAATTAAAAATGAGGAAACGATCGTCGGCCGCGCTTAACTTTGAGTTTAAGGCCACGTACAAGTTGTGTGTGTGTCGCGCGCGCTCGTCGAGTAGCTCCGCCGTACTCCTAAAATCCTACTCGATGCTCGACATTACGCAATCGACGGTGTTTCGTTCTCGGCTCTGGCGCTCGCTGTCGTTCGTCGTCGTCGCCGCGCGCGCCACACGAGTCAGCGCGCCGTTCATACGTGCCGGTATGTCGTCGGTATAGTAGCCACACGCGCGTCCTCCTGCGATACACGCGCAAAATTCGAGCCCACGCTACGAATCATATAATATGTGCCTCCAGACCATTGCGTATCGTGCGTTGGATATAACGTGGACGGGGATCGCGCGATATGCTCTTGGTGTCACTTGGGCACCTGATCAAAGTGCCTGAAAAACGTTCTCAGCTGCGCGAGACTTTGAGCGCATGAGCTCGCTTCGTCGCTGCTCACTTTGATTCCTCGCCATACTTTTAGTCTAGAACATTATTTTTAGTTAATTTTCAGTTGCAAGTATAGGTTTTGATTTGGGTATAGTTTTTTTCAAGATTTGATACTTTTTATACTCTCAAAAAAATAATCTAGCTTCTATAAATAAAATTAAAACCTTATTTAAATCCACTGTCAGCTTTCCGGTTCTAATCATCCATTATAGAAAAGCCTACGTTTGCTAAGAAAAGCCGCCCTAAAGTTACGAATGTAATTTTCCACAGAAATTGGTAGAAATATTCATATCTTACTAATTAATGATACATAAATTAGAAAACTTAATTCACACAGCATACGTTGTACTATTCATGTATAGAAAATATTAAAAAAGCTTTTAACTCGTTGCTACGAGCCTGATGCAACATTCGCCTCCCAGGAGGTATACACCGGTCCGGTCGAAATCGAAAACGCAATCATCCATGGTAACGTCGGAAACGATCGTTAAGCTCGATTTCTGTGCTCTCTGCTCGAGGTCGATCTCGCTCGTATACATCGCAAGCTCGAGTCGAGCGATAAACGGCTTGCGCAGAGCCGCGCATATCGCGTGCACCACGCAGAGCGAGTCGGAGGACAGACACGCGCATGTATAGGTATATTGAGAGCCCGAGCTCGTTGCTCGGCAATGTAACGAGTTTTGCAGTAGCGCGCGATTAAAATTCCAGCGTAGCGGTGGCGGCGGCGAAACTCTCGGCATGTGCCCCGCGCAGCGGGTAAAAATGCTATATCATACGCACCGAACTCGACGTAGCGAGAAGGCATGTAACGATGCACATATCGTGTGTGCAGACTGCAGGCGCGCGACGACGTCGGCCGCGATCGTGTCTGTGAATGTATGTACGTGTATTTGTTTTCGTACGTACGTAAGCGCCGCGCACGCACGTCCATGTGTGTGTAGGTGCAGCATATAATGTGCATGCACGTCTGCGCGTATATGTAACACGGAGCGGCGGCGGCGGTGGCGGCGGCGGCATGTAAGTGCAGCGAGCTGCGTTTGTTATAAACAACGTGGCGCGCTTACCTCCTGGCACCTTCTATTTCCTGACTGCGTATAAACAATTTTCCGAGCGATTTTCCAAGCGTCGCGCTCACTTTTTCCGCGATTATGCTCATCCGCGACGACTCTTAGCGATGAGGCTCGTCGCTGATCGTCGCTCGTCGCCGACCGAGGCCACGCAGGCCTCTTTTTCGTGGCCGTGGATTTTCTGCGCGGAGCACACCGACCTCAGCCGCGAGCCATGTACGTATATCAAGTACTCGAGCGCGAGAGGATCGCCAGCGTTGAGCAGACTGCTATATATTACGAGTTATTTTATATAAAAACCGAAATACCGTCGCGGTGGCTGCAGCGAGTCGCGACCGTGATGGCTTCGCGCGCAATTTGTATCATTACGCGCGCAGCTGGCCGCGCAAAGGCCGGCGGGTGGGGAGACAAACGATGCGCAGCGCGGCCACTCCGCACTACTCCCTTTCTACGCGAGTTTCATGATTCGCAAGGAAGTTTCGCCGAGTCGCGAGCGTGGCCTATGCACCGGCGCGATTCCCGAGCCATGCTGCACTTGCGTATGCGCGACAGTGCGTATCGGCATTCGGCTGCGACGGGAGGCATCGGGCCTGCCTGCTCGACCACTGCCATTTCACACGCTTTGAGGAAAATAAAATCGCTTCCGAACGGATGGCTTTAGGCACTACGCTCCGTAAGCTCGATGATTATTTTACCCTTTGACGGTCGATTGACAACGATAATATACGCTCTTCTTTAGTGAAATTAATATTTCAACCTCCAGCACTGCGAGCCGTCAGCGTCGTAGCTAAAACTTGCTAAGCTCGCGTGCACACCGCTGCCAGTTCGCATAGGGCATGTAGCGCAGTCGCGTGTGTGTGTGTATGAATGCACGCGAGAATGCACACGAGCTACACGCGTCGGGCACGCGGCCGTACACAAACGCGCCACAAGCAGGCAAGCCAACGATAGAGAGAGAGAGAGAACGCGTCAAGTTCGCGTGCACCGCCAAGCGACGTTGTTTGGTGCTCATATGCGGCAGACGCGCTGCGGATCGGGAGAACATGAAGCCGAGCGAGCGGCCGCAGGCGCATTCCGCAAAGTTGCAAGATGTCTATACAGATATATTAACGCCGTGCAATGAGGATTTCGAAGGCGCCTATACTGCTGCTACTGCGCCGATAGACGAGATGTCGAGCAGCCTCGACTCGACTGTTTCATATACCGGGTATAAGCTCTATTTACTGTTGACGAGCTTCTTCTTTCTTTACTTTCTCAAAAAGGTTTCACTTTTGAATTATTGATCGTTTATTTTATTAATTTCATATTGCCGCATATCTTTTTAAATTTAACAGAAATTCAGCTGAATTCTAAAACCTTCTACAACTTTTCGTGCAATAAAATATTACAATTTCATATAATAGATGGGATGAAATTTCTTTTCTCATAAAAATAATAATTTAGAATGTTTGTGTTGATTTCATTCAGACATATTTTATTAATATCGAAAAGCATCAGAGATACAAACTTATATTTCATTTGCATCTATTTGTTAGTCTTCATTTTTTGGGTCTAATGCTTGATTGATGAAAAAAAAATTTTAAAGACATGCTTTCGACACTTCGACTATATATTTTTGTTTACAAGCTCCGTAGATGTCTTTCCATCCAACATAATCAACGAATTATTTTTGAAAAAATAATCAAATAGGTGCTTAAATATTTTTTCATTTACCTTTATTTCAACATCTCATTGATTAAATATGCTTAATTCTAAATGACCAAAATCATATGTTCAATGAGCTCTCACAAAAAAAATTAAAAAAATTGCAACTTGTTTTATTTGATGTAATGCAAAAAAATGAATTTAATAACAATTGTATTAATTACACAATTGCCCTAGCGTAATGCTCAATATTTTCTGACTAGTTTTTGGGCCATTGGAACTGGATTTATACTAATCAAAAACGTAAAGATGTTTCGAATATTTTATAGGAAAATAATTCTTTACTTTTCTTTTATTGAATAACTATTTCTTGAATATTAACTTTAGGCAAATTACCATTTCCCCACATGTTAAATAGTTATTTTTCATTTTCTACATTTGAATATAAACATCATCAATTAATTATGTTTTGTTAATTTTAATTAAACAACATTACTGTTAACAGAACTGAAAATTACATGATGAATTCAATGAAATATTCTCTGGTTGAAATGCTCAACATTAAATGATTAGTTTTTGAACTACGAAAAAGTTTCTTGGGCATACAAGGACCATTTTAACTCGACCAATATTAACCAACAGAGTAGCTTTTGGCAAAAAAAGCAAAATTCTACTGACATTCTTGATTTAAGCTATAACTTATTTAATCATTTTGACTTTGCCACTTGTTAATTATTAATGATATTGAGCATTTTTACAAGGGGTGATTTTATCTGTATTAAATCTTGCCATTAAATTACATTTTAACAAGTAAAATGTTAAAAAATAAAAAAGAAATAAAGAGCCGAATCGTTGGTCTGCAACGTGGGTGTAATCGAACCTTAAAGATTCACCGCCCCTGCCGAGCTCGCAGAGCAGTCGTGTCGAGCAGCGTCTGAAAATAGTGTCGACGTCGCTTTAAATTTTAATTACTACGTTTAATTTGGCCAAGCTCGCTAACTAAGCAAGCATATCCGAAATAGCTTCGTAGAGCGCTTGGGGAAGCTGCTCGAGCCCTTGCGCGAAATTCTGCTCCCCTGGGCTCGTCGCGCACTCGAAGCTTCATTTGTGCTTCGGGCTCGTCGCCGGTGCTTTCGCTGCTGCGGCCGCGTTAATTAGTAGCTCTCGCTGATTAACGCTCGAAACAATGGAAAAGTCTCGGCTTAGCGAGCTCGTGAACTAGGCGATCATGAATCACGAGGAGCTTTTGTCGCAAATCGTTCACTCTCTCTTTCTCTCTCTCTCTCTCGCTCTTTCTCTCTTTGTCTTTCCGGTCTTTGTAATTTACAGAGGCTGCCATAGGCTGCAACCCCTTTTCATTAAAAGCCGAGCCGTGGCTCGAACCGCTCGCGCTCTCGTGCTTCTCTTCCCACGCGCGCAGCAGCCCCTCTAAAGTACGATACACGGAGCACAGAAGCTGTACGTACCCATGCATTACGTATACGCGTATCTAGCGACGGATCGTGCCTATACACGCCATACAGCACCAGGCAGAAGAACCAGCAGCCGGTCTCGCCTCGTTTGCACCAGTCCATATATAATAGCAGATATAGAGACAGTCGTGGAGGCTTAATTAGTACACGCGCCAGAGGTGTATGCGCCGCTCGAGCGATAAGAAATAGCGACTACGCGCCTCGCTCCGTGCTAATTGGTCTGTTGCTCTCGTCGGCCAGAGATTTAGCCAAACGCTACAGCCCCCGAGTCTGTACTTCTCGGCAGAGCTTCTAATTTGCATATTATCGGAATCAAACGACCGGTGCATGTTAGCTGAGAGATACCCTTTCTCTTTTCGGTCTCCGATTCGGACGCGGCGAATTACGAGCGTGTATGATTGCGCATTGGTACTCGTTGAAAAGCATTAATTACAGTAGTGGGTGTGCGCAGCTACATTTGTACAGTCAATTACGCTCTTAACGTAAACATCGTTTTCTGTCGACAGGTTCCAGAAGGCTTGCGTCAAGTACGGCGTGCCAGACGTCGATCTTTTCCAAGCTGTTGATCTGATCGAGCGCAAAAACATCGCCCAAGTAACCAACACCATCTTCGCCATTGGCCGCACGGTAATTTTGCTTTTACGATGTGACGTCGAATTCGTGATATTGAACAAAAATAATGAACTGCGTTTGCTTCTCGTTCGTTGCAGACTTACAAGCATCCGGAATGGCGCGGCCCTTGGCTAGGCCCAAAACCATCCGAAGAACACAGAAGAAACTTTACCGATCAGCAGCTCCGAGCTGGAGAGGGTATGATTGGACTTCAGGCGGGTAGCAATAAAGGAGCCACGCAGTCCGGCCAAAACTTCGGTGCATCGAGGAAGATTATTTTCGGAAAATAAGCTTAACCTAGTGATTTTTTCCTTATTATATACGTACCAAGCTTCTCGAACTTGATTGAAATCAAAATGCTACTTTTGTTAATGTGCAAACTTGATTAACTATTAACAGTATTTTACAAAGAAAAACTATTATTGTTCGCTTATTTTTCTAATATATAGCCATATCTTCTTTACGACGTTTTATATATTCAAAACTAACGACTACAAATTGTACAAAAATAACGGATATGAACATGAAATAAAATATATTTTGAAAAATTTATTTCAATGTAAGGACATTTATAATATCTTCCTTTAATATTCATTAATTTAAAAAAAAAACACAACCAATTTTAGGCTGCTGCGAATAGCATCGTGGCCCAAACAATCTCACGCACGCAGCACATTCTGCCGACGCTCTGCATGCATTTTCGTGTACATACAAATTCGCCTGGCTGCAAGCCGTTGGGAGAACGCCGAGGTGGTAGTAGTGGCGTGACGTGCATGTACACACGCATTACACGCATTCTTCGAGAGGTTTCTACACTGCCAAGCTCCCGTAAGATCAGGCGAACATATCACCGCGGTGGAGATTCGCTCGCGACGTACAGACCAACGTCTCTTTCGTCTCTTTCCTTCAGTATGCGGATCGTCATCTGTGAAGCCTTCGAGGGCACAAGAGTGCATAAAGCAGGCAAATTCTTAATAGTTGTATTGTCTCATGACTATTCGGAACTGAATCTTTTATGAATTTAATCAAAACAGAGGACTCGTTCTCTGAACACCAATATAATTATCCCACGTACAAATAGTATCAAATTATATGAATCAACTATAGCGTTTCAAGATAAGTAATTTGAAAAAAATATTCATAGAATGTGAGTGCAAAGATGTTAGACCTGAGCTCGAGTCTTTATCGTAAAAAATTTTACCTCAATATATACATAAAATTTAATACATAATGGTGCGGCAAACCCTTTAAATGTAAAATTTGCCATAAATCATTTGGACGCTATATACTCGGAGTCTATCCTTTGAATGTAGAATTTTTCATGAATCTTTTGGATACCAGAATTTACTCCAACGACATACAAATGCAGTATGTACTACGTCATTCGTCAATCACGCTATGGCGTGGGGACGGCAAATTTTGGAATGAATCATCACCAAGTTAGAATTTTGAATGGTTTCAAATGTTATAACAAAAATTTATAAACAGATGAATCAGTATCTTAATTGTAAACAATATACGTTAGCAAAAGATTTCGACATCGATCATTAATCATGTTTATTGTAAAAACAAAGTAGTTTGAATGTTGTCTTTCCCGATGAAACAAGTCATAAAACCAGAAGATGAATATTATTATTTCAATTTCCTGAATAGGTGAGTTCATTGTTTAATTTGGCTACTGAAATGGATAAAAGTAAAAAGAATCTCAAAGATGTTGTCTCAAAAGATAATTCAAAGGAAAATTATATCTCTGTTTCAAACGACAAACAACAAGTTTGTGATATTTGTCTAGAAAAATTTTCACTAGAATCAAGCATGATAACACACCAAGACACAATTCACAATGATCAGAAAGATTACGCATGCAACCAGTGCGAGAAGAAATTCGAGTTCCGAAGTCATCTGAGTAGACACCAAATATCCGAACACAAAAGCCGTAAAGATTTTGCATGCGACATGTGCGAGAAAAAATTTGTGAAAAAATCGAGTTTGACTACGCACCAGAAATTGCTACACAAAAATCCCAATGATTTCACATGTGACAAGTGCGAGAGAAAATGTGAAAACAAATCAACTTTACTCAAGCACAAAAAAATATTCCACGAAGTTTTCAAAAATTACTTATGTGAAATGTGCGCTAAGAGATTTGATAATAAAAGAAGTTTGCTCTTGCACATGAAAACAGTACACGATGGTCAAGTCTTCAAAGATTACTTATGTGACAATAGCGGTAAGAAATTTGAAAACAAACGGAATTCGCTCTTGCACATAACTACCGTCCATGAGGGTCGCAAAGATTACGCATGTGATAAGTGCGAGAAGAAATTTAGGGATCGAGGTAATATGTTCAAACACCAAAGAATAGCACATGAAGGTCGCAAAGATTTCACTTGTGACAAGTGCGAGAAAAAATTTGGACAAAAATGGATCATGATTCAGCACCAAAAAATAGTTCACGATGGTCGGAAAGATTTTGCATGCGACAAATGTGAGAAGAAATTTGGGCTAAAATCGAATTTACTCGCCCACCAAAAGTCAGTACACGAGGGTCGTAAAGATTTTGCTTGCGACAAATGTGAGAAGAAATTTGGGGAGCAAAGAAGTTTCATAAGACACCAAAAAACAGTTCACGAAGGTCGCAAAGAGTTCACATGTGACAAGTGCGAGAAGAAATTTGGACATATGTCGCATTTGATTTCCCACCACAAGATTGTACACGAAGGTCGTAAAGATTTCTTATGCAGCAGTTGCGAGAAGAAATTTGGAAAGAAATCAGATTTATTGAAGCACCAAAGGACAGTTCACGAGGGTCGCAGAGATTACGCGTGTGATAAATGCCAGAAAGAGTTCGGACAAAAACCGCATTTGCTGATCCACCAAAGGGCAGTTCATGAAGGTCGCAAAGATTTTGAATGCGAGAAATGCGAGAAAAAATTGAGAAGGAAATCAATTTTATTGAAGCACCAAAGGACATTCCACGAGGATCGTAAAGATTATGCATGTGACAAATGAGAAAATAATTGATGATTGACAATATACTGACAATGTATGACAATATCGTGCATATACTTTTTTTAAATTTTAATAAAAATTTTGCTGAAATAATTGTATATTAGCTGATGTTAACCATCATTATACCTTTGTTCACTGTCATCATGGTGTTTTCAGATTTTGTGTACTACTAATTACGACTCTCTGAGCCATTTTTTGTCAACTTGGTTCGTGCAACTCATCTGGGTACGATCAACCGAGAGTTCTGTTCATGTTCAACCGATCAACCGAGAGTTTTGTTTGAATGGGGGGAGGGTTTAATTAGCCACTGAATTTTTGATAAACCTCACGCGATAATATGCGACCCTGAATAGATTAAAAATGATCAAACATGCTCAAGTAAAAGAGTTTTATAAATTTGCTAAAAAGTAATTATTTCTGCTAAAAAAGACACGATTGGTAATAAAAAAGGAATAATCCGTAATAACATTATATAAACTCTAACTGTTACTTACTTCATCATTAAGAAGAAATTATGAATACAATGTTTTCAAAATAAAACAAGCTTTTTATTATTCTTGTTCGTCTTAGTGTAGCAAATACAATTCAGTGTAGCAAATACAATAGCCTCAGTATAGGTATTCATAATCATCTCATTGTTAGCTACGCTCGGGGTACAATAACTGCTGCTGATCTCGCTACCGTCGATGGGGTTGTACAGCAACAATGATACCAGAAAAGATGATACGGAGGACTCGTCGACCTTCCACTCGTTAACGTACTCTTTAATCATAAATTAATCCTTTCAAACAATCCTTGAAATTGTCAAGAATATTAAAATTTTCTTTTTTGAAAAGATTCGAATGCAACATTATTAAAACACAAACATAAAATGCATCGTAACAAGATAGTATTCACATTTTTCAAATTACTTTGTAAGTATAATGTTACTCCGATAACGACATTGGATGCGAGAAAGTAAAAATTTTACAATTTATAGCCATGAGCGTAGATTTTCGATTTCAAGTTTTTGAATAGTTACAAATTTGATAGTTTGATTATAGTATCAAACTCATTTCACGTACATTAGAATAGAATGTGACCGATTACAAGCGTTTTTATGTAAGTTCTACTGTATTTGTATAAAAATCAACAAAATAAACAGTTTTTTTTTTACATCATTTTCGAATTTTTAAAATAGAAATGATAAATATGTGCTATCAATTGTTACCGAAAACCCCACGAGATTCTTACAAAAATTACACATCAAAATGATAAGAGTCAAGTATGCTTTACCGACGCACCACAGCTCGTATCGATTTCCTCGAGGCACGACTGTACAGGGAGCAACGCTACCCTCGGAGCCTGTGGCACTTACACGAAGCAAAGGAGTGAGTCAACAACCCTTAGGCTTGACACAGATATACATTTTATTCGAGCTTGGGGGGTAGACGGGCGTCTGGCGCGACCAGACGGTTTGTGCTACTAACGAGCCCTCGTCGTCTACGTCTGGTCTGAGCGAACGACTCACGCGAGGCAGGCCAGCTCTGGGGGATCCCCGAGAACAGGCTCGCAGTCGGGGCGAGAAGTCGAGCGGGTAAGCATCGCGACAGGCGCAGAGCCGCGACGCTCAAAAAAGTCACCTACTGCACTTTTCTGCTAACCGCGTCGAAGGGGAGCATCGCGGAGTGGCCGCTCCGCGCATCAGTGGTCCCCCCACTAGAACCTGGCAAAAGCAGCTTTGAACGCGATTGCAGAGCATCGTTGTGTATACTGTCGCCTGAATCTGCCTGCCTCGTTGATTGACATTTTTTTCTTGGTAATTAATTCGATGGCAATGTTGTACACGAAGTCTTAGAGTAACCAGTTGGTAAGGCAGTTATTTTTTCATGACTCGCTCGAGGTTCTTTGCTACTTCAAAATGGCGCTTTAAAATTCAAATTAACTACAAATTCGAATTTTCTTTCCTACGCATTTCTCATCAAAACCAGATACCTTTAAATGTTCAATCCTTTAAATTAATCTTGCACAAAGATGATTGTATAGGGAACAAATTTGTTAAAAAACTTTCGAAAAAATTGTTCTGTACCATTTATAATTCAATGTAATAAAACAATCAAAGTCTTGAAAAAAGTTTGTATATTAAAATTGGTATCTATGACATAAGAAAAAATTAAAGATTTTCCAATTAATAAATTTTTACTTATTATTCTCAAAAGCTCCGAATAATTTTTAATATTAAATGTTTTATCAAATCAAGCACGACTCACTAACAACATGGCATTATTTTGAAATAATAATGGAAAAAAAAGATAAGACAAGTATAAAGAAGAGATAAAAGTTTTGAAAAGCTCGAGGAAATGCTGGGACCACGCGCGCAATGCTTTAGCCACATGTGGGTAGGCGTGTGCAAATATAGCAGCGCAGCGGTCGGATACAGGCGCGCGAGAAACACGACCAGAGTCGCACTTATGCGGGCCTAGTACGATCTCTACGTCGGGTACATTTTCACGACACTTGAGTGCTCGCTCGCAGCGACAAAGTGTGCGCACACTTACAATGTTACAACTGCCCTGGCGTGATCCGAGGCTCCAAGCTGCGGCGTTCTCCACCACGCTCCGCGCCGCCGTGGCCGTTTCGCAAACGTACGCTCATGTCGTGCGAATAGCTTCGTACATATATCTATATATATCTTGTACGTGGAGTCTGGCTGGCTCGAGTTCGATTGGCTTTTCAAGCTCCTCGAGCATCATGTTCGCTTGATATTTCGCCGACTCTATTCGATCGACAAAAGTGTCTCGTGCACAAAGCCGCGCGATGGAAAAGTATTAAGCTCGCGCGCGGCTCGTCGCAAGAAGAAGAATAGAGCACCGCGCCCCGTATCGAACGTGCCAGTCCGGCTCGATTGGAAAAAAAGTGAGGTTAGACGCGCGAATCTAGGCGCGCTCGCTCTTCGACTTCCACTCGCTGCGGCACCATCGCAACAAGAACGCTGCCGAGCCAAGCGTTTGTATAACTGATCGCGCCACTTGCTCGGCTTCATGCGGCCCTGGCAGCGCTACCTCGCGCTTTCGGGGCTCCAAACTCGATTCACCGAGCGAGTCCGAGTCGCAGAGTGCTCGGCGATAGTCTTTTTCGTCGCTCCTCGAGCACGACGGTCTTCGATTCGCGCGCGCCTCGCGAACTCGTATGTATCGAACATCGATCGATATCGTAACTATTGCAATTTTGCATCGATTACTGCCGACGCTCGATTCTTCTTCGACTAGACGAGTCACTTTGCCCGAGATTTGAAAATGGATCATTTTTATTGGTATTTTGATGACCCATTGAACTTATATTTACCATCGGAATAAATCTATACTGTCATTTTTGTATGCAGATTTCAAGATTTTATGTTATTCAAAAATAATTAGTTATTCATCTTGGCTGTCAGCCGATTATCGCTTCTCATTTTTAGTTATTATTATTTTATTAGATTTGGTTAATTTTCAGAAAAGATTGATTTTTAACTGCATATCTTCATTCTTCAATTTTAGGAGTTCCCAATCGACATAAATTAAACATAACATCGTCAGATGTTATGTATTTTTAATTTCAGGACAAGTTGATTCAATTGGAGCTAAAATTACGCAGATTTTCAGAGAAACATTCATCATAGTTATTGGTTGCAGCTTGATTTTGGTCGTCGATGCCAATTCAAGCCCAGCAAAAGTTTTACCTGTATGAATGGTTGAAATGAAAACATGTAAACAAAGCACAATAAAAATTAAGCAATCACTTAAGATCGATAAAAGGTACTTACGAGATTATTGCTCAATGAAGGTTTCATTATCGCAGATAATAAGAAAAGAAACAGAGGAGATAAAGAGTGTAGTAAATTAGCGCGTCAGTGACAGAATACAAGGAACGTCAACTTGACATGCTGGCCGCGCAAAGACGGCAGAGAGTAGCGACCAAAAACGTAGCTCTTGCGTGCGTTTGTATGTGTGCGCATACATGTGTAATCGTACTCACGGACGACTTGCCGGCGTCAAATGAATCAGCCGAGCGTGCACGAAAATTTCCCCGCGGGCCATTCTCTCATTGTGGCGAGTCGCGTCGACAGATCTGCTCTGTCAACCATTGATCTCGAGTCGTATTTTGTCAACAGAGGCTCGCTCGAGATCTTCAAGGTAATAACACTCGTCCGACGATTAAATTACGATTGCTGCCTATAAGTGTTCGTTGAGAAAAAAATCTCGTGAATTGTATTGTTGCATTAACAGTGCTGTGTAAAAAAATTTCTTTCAGTGCGTTGAAAGTACTAAATTTACTGCACCGGCGAAAAAAGTGAAGTGAACAGCATTGGATTTAGCGACAATAGTTAGCGAGAAAGTTTTGGACGGTGGGACTTTTTTTGGGTAAATCCCGGCTCGTTCCGATCACTTCCATGATTTATGGCGTAAAAAAAAAATTAACAAGGCCCAAGTCGTGCCATATATTGAATAATCTCGAAAAATTTTCTGACAGCGTAGTGTTATTATATATCATAAAAATATTAACCGGCCAATAGCAGTAGTAAACAAAATAATTGTGGTTTATAATTTTTTGCGTGTATATTTTTAATATTCCATTCATTTTGATCTTCGGAGATCAATAGTAGATCCTAAAAGTGATAGTAAATATTTTACGAACAGACACGTTGGGATTTTGAACGTTGCTTCGGCCTTGAGCTCCGAATGAATTGAATTTCTATTAAAAGAATATTGATACCAAGTATCACCGAGTCAATGGTAAAAAAATCACATACACTTACAAAGCGGAAAAGAAAATTAAAACATTTTCTATTTCTGTATTTAACACGAACTTTCTTAGTTTTCGAATAATCCTCGGTGAAAATATTACATCGTGTCGCGGATAAATTCAATAAAGTTTTTGTTGACAAAATCTGACCCATGGACGTTTGTATCTTTGAATATCTCTATAGATACCGAAACAGTCGCGTCGAGACCTCTTGGGATCGGTGAACGACGCGTACTCGATAGCGATCTTTACTCGTGCGCCGATCGGTTGTAGAATCGTCGATACGCAAAGAGATTATCAAGTTCACCAACCGTTTGAATTTTGACATTCGAATATGATTCTCGTCTCTGCGTATCGAGCGATACTCGATGTTTCGATGGCACGTACGCACGATGCGAATTTAACACTCGGCTTCGCTCTGCAATCTGCAGTGCGATTCGCTGAAACGATTTTTACGAGCAGTTAGCGAGCAAGCAGGCCGAGAACAGTGCACGCTTTGGTCTCTTTACGAGACACGAAATTTGCATGTAGAACAATTTTTAGAAATTGAAATTAGTACGCTGTTGGCGGGTACACACGATATAGAGCTGCACACGTCGAAATAATTTATTTATACCGATAGCTAGCGTCTCGGCAGATGCGACTCCTCGTGTTGTACACTTATTGGCGAAGTCTGCATTACTTGCGTACGTCTAATTCTCGGTAATCTGCGTCTATACTCGGTTTCGCAGTCTCAATAGATGTATCGGTAAGAATGAGCATTTATAACGCGCGTATACGAGCACGACATTATGTAGGTAACGTCGTAGTGAGCGTCACGGCCGAGCGTAGCCCGTGGGCGTGCAGCTGATGTTTTGTGTACGAATAGCGAATACACTTTGCGAATGTCAAGCTTATATGCTTACTGCTATGTAGTATATTCGCGTTCGGTAGGTACCTGTAACAGCAGCAGAAGCCGTCGCGTTACCGAAAATAATATATCGGACGCGTTTGCTCGGACCTTCGGTTGCGACATTTTTTTCTGAATGCTCGTGCATGACGCTAATCGCGCATTTTTTTTAGAATTGGCGCAACGAAGCAACTGAAAAATCAAATGAGTGCCGGTCAAAGTGATTGCTCCAAACAAAGAAATACTTAACCTATTGTCAACATGCCTGGATCAAGGGAAACAACTCCAAATGATAGCTGCAACGGTCATGTGGGTATGTTATCAAATTCATTTATAGGCATAGTAATATGTGTTTAAATAATTATATCATTACAACTTTAATGCATAAAATGATATTTTTGATTTCTAGGGGCACTGTGTTCCAATCGTCCTCAGGCAGTTCTTATTTTCAATAATGAGAAAAGTGAAATTAAAAAACCTGTATTAGTTATTGCTTGTGTTATTGATTTATTAGAAGAGGATCGTTTAGAAGATAGAAGAAAAGCTTTTGAAGCAATAAAACTCTCCTGTCACAACCTATATTGTAAATTATATCATCTTCCATTTCAATCATTGTTGAGAGTACGTGGTGGGAACCCAGCTCAAGATGTGTTTAATAGTGCAGACATTGTTATTGTGGATTTTAGCATAGAAGATCAAGCATGTTATCTGTTTTATAATCTTGGAGTTAGAGAAAGTTATAAAAATACTACAAACATATTTTTACTGAATAATACTAATGAACAAACTACTGAATTATTTAAGGTAAAAATAATCTACTGCTTGAAAATATTTATGAATATGCTTTTTGTAACAAATTTTTTCTTTTAGGCCTTATGTTCAAAAAATACAACTCAACTTCATACATACAATTATGATGATGATGAAAAATCTACTGAGCCTTCTTTAGCCAATTATCTAATGAAATCATATGTTGTTATAGAAATTAAAACAAAGTAACTGACTCCTACATTACATTATAATACTTAGTATGAGTTTTGATGAAAATTTAATCAATTTTAATATTTACAGAGCTCATAAGCGAGAAAAATTCTTATCTGATTTAGAGGAAAAAAGAGAATCATTAAAAAGAGCTGAACTGGAAAAAGAATTAAAAGCTATGATGATGAGATTAGATGATCCAACAATTTTTTCCACTGAACTTGTAGTGAATTATTTGGCAGCTCTTAGAGATGTCTCTGTAAGTTTTTCAGTTTTCACAGTATATTTTTGTTACCATAATAGAAAAACAATTCATTATTTTGCTACAGGATTATGATTCAATGGTACAATTATGTGAAAAATTACTTGCATTACCAAGCCAGAAACATATTATGGAAACTACAGAAATCATATACCTGTATGCATTTGCTTTGAATCGAAGAAAAAAAGCTGGCGACAAAGAAAAAGTATTACATGTTGTTGAACAAGCTTTAAAAGTAAAGAAAAATGTTGTACCAGATATGGTATGCTTGTGTGGAAGAATATATAAAGAAATGTATGTTGAAAGTAATCTTAAGGATAAAAATAGCTTGCAAAAAGCTATACATTGGTATAGAAAAGGATATGAAGTAAGTAATTTAAACTAACTTATATGATGTGTGCATTAGAAAAATAAATGAAATTACCTTAAAAATTTTCTAGGTTGAACCTAATGAATATGCTGCTATAAACTTGGCTACTTTACTAGTTGTTGATGGTTTTGAAATTACAACAAATCAAGAACTTAAAAATCTAGTATTGAGACTAAGCCATATTATTGGGAAAAAGGGAGATATATATCATGTAAAAGATTATTGGAGTGTTGCTACATATTTTGAAAGTAGTGTTCTGGGTAAATATTACCAAGAAGCATACTTTGCAGCAGAAGCCATGTTAATGTTAAATCCTCCCACTTGGTGCCTATTATCTACTATTGGGAACATTAGACTAATTAGTAAATACCGTGATAAAAAGCCGAAAACGCCATTAGAACGTATGTTTGTATTTTGGATGGATTTTTTTATTGAAGCCACTAAAAAAAAAGCTGAAGTTGCTAACAACATTAGATTTCCTGTAAGTCTCATTAAAATTCTCAAAATTTTAAACTAATGCCTAGAGGACTTATGTGCAATCTTTTTCAGATAGTCATACTTGAAGACACACACGTGCTAATACCTAGTTATGTAGTATTTCATCTTGGTGACTATGAGAAAACTATGCAGATTACCAACACCTGTTTAGAAGGCATGCGTAAAAAATGTAAAAATCAACATGATTTTGTGTACAAAGCTAGACACATTTATGCCATTGGTCTATGTAAAAAAGACGAACGTCAAGTCGTCCTCTACGTTAAACATGGTTTTAGAATCTTCATATATTTCCCATCAGATGCTTGTAAAAGAAGGTTCTATGAACTGTTAAGAATACTCGTGAAAAATCCAAAGGTCATGGGAGATATGGATGATTACATGGATAGTCCGTTGACAAAACAAGAAGTATGAAGACTATTACTGATTTTTTTTTGTACTTAATGTACGATTGGAATGCATTATTAATATCATTTTTTATTTTATATAGTTTGAATATGAACTAGATCCAGAGGGCAATCGCATACTTCTTGGCAAAGGGACTTTTGGTAGTGTGTACGTTGCAAGGGATGTTGATGCCAAAGTAAAAGTTGCCGTGAAAGAAATTAAAGAAGAAAAAATTAACGACGTTGAGAAATTTCACGAAGAAGTTTCCTTACACAGCGAATTACGTCACAGAAATATTGTTCAATACATTGGTTCAATAAGTCAAGACGGCTATGTAAAAATTTTCATGGAAAACGTTCCTGGAGGTCAGTTTTAAGAAAAACTTTATAAGAGGCCCTTTTTAATTCTCATAAAAATTTTAGGAAGCTTGACATCACTGCTTAAAACAAAATTGAAGAATTTGATAAAGACTCCCGTTACCATGGCTTATTATACTCAACAAATGTTTGAAGGAGTAAATTATTTACATGGACAGAAAATTATTCACAGAGATATTAAAGGTTTTTATAATATTATCTACTCAACAAAATAGGAATTAAAAAATGCATAATATGACGATTTCTAGGAGAGAATGTACTCATCAATACTTACAATGGATGTGTCAAAATATCTGATTTCGGAATGTCGACTAGATTAGAAAATTTGAGTCAATATACCAAAAGCTTTCGCGGTACCATGGTATACATGGCCCCTGAAGTGATTGAACGAGGACACCAAGGTTACGGAGCGCCGGTAAATATATTTGTGTAATAATTTAATTTAACATTAACCTGTTAATTGTGAAAATTCTTATATGATTTGAATTAAAGGCCGACGTTTGGTCTCTTGGATGCACAGTAATGGAAATGGCTACGGGAAAGCCACCATTTTTAGAATTAGGATCTCCACAAGCAGCAGTATTTAAGGTAACAGCAATTTATTAAATTAATACCTAAACAATGCTGTAGGTTTTATGATTTTATTAAATCAATAAATTTATTTGTAGGTTGGGCTTTATAAAGATCATCCACCAATTCCAGATGAGATGCCAAATATAATAAAAAAATTCGTCATGCGCTGCTTCGAACCAGATCCCGCGAAACGGAAAACATGTGCACAATTGTTGAATGATCCCTTCGTGGAACTAGCGTAATTTTGAAAAAATTTTTTTTAATTATAAATTTAAATTAAAAATTAATTTATGTATTTTTTTTCAGAGAACAAGCAGATCTGAGAACAGCTTTACTTCAATACAACTGCGATCCACCTCAAACTCAAAGATTTCATGGTCAAGAACCAAGAATTCCATACGACATAAGAGAAAGGTATTATAGAAAGATTATTGTTGAAAATAGCTTGTATACAAATTTAACTTGAGTAACTGCGTTCCCTATCGACTTCTAATTTTTTGAAGTTTGCGTAGTAACGTTTTGAGTTGATTTATCAAATTTAAAAAAAATTGTTTCATCTGTTTTTACATTTTTTAATAATATTTTATATTTTTTATTTTCATATATTACTTTTTTGATAACTATTATTTATAATATTTATTTATTTTATATTACTTTTTTTTCATTTTTTTTCACGATCAGATTAAAACATTTAGACGTAAAACCAATTAGCGTTGATTTCAAAACTCCTTATAATAATACTACAACTACAGACAAAATACCGGAATCCCTGGATCGGTAATTAATTAATACACATAATTTTCAGAAGCTACTTCAATTTAAAAAATTGAAAACGACGTATTTTATTCAAACACAATGTTATTATGTTCATTACCTTAGTATAAGTACACTAACTATTTTATTTACACCGTGTATTTTTCGAAGAATGGAAATTGAGTTTCAAATTAAATTCTTACCAAAATTTTATTTGATGAAATGCATCTTCAAAAATATTTACAAGTATATTTTTATCCAGCTTTGGGGACGTAATACCAATCATTGAGTTAAGCGAGCACAAATTTCCTTCGTGCAGTACACCAGGATCATCTGCAAGTACCATCAGTCCTGAATTTGAAATACCTAACACAATCGATATTCCATCACCAAAATCTGTTCTGGAAATAAAAAATGTCAGTGAAGAAAACGAAAAACCTTATTTATTGTCAAAAGAAAGTCAAAATCGCATAACGCTCGAGCGAGTTATTAATGAAGAGGAAACAAAAATGAGTTCACTGTGGCGAGAAAATTTTAAAAATTTGTTCAAAAGTGAAACTTTTCTTAAAACGGTACGTACATTTTGTTGTTTTTTTTATTTTCTTCTATTATTTTATTTAAATTACAATTTACAATCTAATGTATTATTTTTTACTTATTCTTTAGAAACATTTCGTTAAATTAGTTGCCGCAATGAAAAACTACATTGCCACTGATGATGGTAACATTATAAAAAATACTATCAAAGAATTAAAGGAAGAAGTGAGCGATGAACCTTCTGCTGTGAATCAATTAAGTTCTGCAGTGAACGTGTTTCAGGATACTGTGAAATCAATTCTTAAAACACGTGGATTCAAGCCTCATTGGATTTCTTCTTTAGATGATGTCGCAAAAACTGCTGTCGTAGCAGTATTACAAGTTTTAACGCCAGGTAAATTTAATTTTCGTATTTTATAATTGTACTAAACTTTCAATTATCATAATTTTATCAATTTTGTTATTTTTTTCTCCAAAAAGAAGTCAGTATTCAATCTAATGGTGAATTTATCAGTACAAACGGCCTCAATGAAGAAAAAAAGGAAACGTTATCGCGTTCCAGTTCACGGGCATCAGGTAAATTACTTGGAATTTTAAATTAACTTTCGTTGGTTGCTATTACAAAAAGTAATATTATTTTACTTTTATAGAAGTGAGTTCAATGTCAAGTGGAAACTCGACTGTAAATCCATTTAGTTCAAGTGAAGATGATGATGTAACAAACCGACTAACGCCATCTAAAAAGTCAAATTCAAATGGTATATTTTATATAGTAACTTAATAGATAAAGCTCCTAAGTACGTTGAGAGTCGATTTTTTCATTAATTTTTTTTAAAGTATTTTTTCACATTTATATACTTGAATGGTTATCGTCAAACCAAGTTATTCTCGACTAAATACTTATTATATGTAATTGAAAATATAAAACTGCTTTTATATATTTATGGGTCCGAAAAATTCGCTTGAGATTGCGTCGATGACCATCTACATTTAAAATGTCATCAGTAAGCATGAGAAATTGTCCAATTTTGAGAAATGTGTTTGAAAAAGTGAAATAAGTATTATTAAAAATTAAAAAATCGATTTTTAGGTACCTATGAGCTATTTAGTACTATAAAAATAAATCACTTTTTTAAATTAAATTAATTTTTATACAGAACACCTCGCACCATCTTTGAATACTGCTGTTTATGGAGATTCTAATTCTAGAAACGGTGAAAATTCTGAAATTCCTTCAAATAGGAACTTATCAAAAACAGAATCCGGTAATTATAAGCTTTAAAAAAACTTATTTACTGACAATCGTTTCACCTCCACCTTTAATTTTTTGTAGACACCAATGATACTCTCAGAAACCACCAGATGACTATGTTAGGAATCAGTAGCGTTGACCAAAAACCAAGACTACGCTTACACTTGAGTTCACACTCGTCCGAAGGATCTACGAAAACTTCTTCATTAAAATCGGTTCAAACTAGCGATTCTGCCGCATCGACGATTACTCTACCAACTTCGTACGCAAAATCTATTCAGGACCAAAACAAAGAAGTCTTACAACAAAATGCAACTATCATCACAGAATTAGTAGAAAATCAAAAAGCCTTCCAAACTCTTCTCACCAATGCTTTAACAGAGCAGCAAAAACAAATGTCAGTTTTAACAGATATAAGCCAAGCCATGGCGAATCACATTTTAAAGAAACCCGAGTAAGTATCAAATTATATATTAGTTTAAATTTCTTTGCATTTACTTCATTAATAAATTTTTTCAAAGGACGCCACTCGTAAAACCCTCTGATAACCTCGATAACGATGATATTGATCCAAATAAAGTGGACGATAAATTGGTCGAATGGCTTTTAAAACTTGGTATTAGTATTGGATCTGTAAAAAAAGTAAATATTTTAATATTTCTACATCAAAATACTATCATTTATTAAGATAGGATTCATTAAGATTAATTTTTCAGTTTCAAAAAGAAGAATGTTGCTTGGAAGATGTGCTTGAGTACCTATCACGAGGAGATTTGAGAAGAATTAATTTAAAGTATGTTTGTATTACTTATCAACGATTTCTTTTCCATATCTAATATATTTTTTAATTTTAGGGTGGGCGATGAACTGAAAATATGGAGAGCCATCCTGCAGCATCGAAAATTCTCAGTTAATGAAAAGTCTCAACAAACTGAATAACTATGTATATAACCAAATAATTATACGTCTAGGAATTTAGGTTGAAAAAAGCAAAGTATGTCGTTAACACATTAAAAAGTTAGAAAATGATCATTACCTAGAAACTAGCGTGTTGAGCAATAGAATTTCTTACCAATCAACAATTTTTAATTGAAGTGCCTTGACCAGTGAATACTAAATAACTCATTAAGCTATTTACAAAAATGTGATAATAAGTGATAGTCATAGTATATTTGGGAATATACTATACGATTATTTATATTTTAATAATACAACTTTTTTAATCTTCTAAAAGAACTGAAATTGTAAAACGAAAAATCGGTCGTTCTATATTACTTCGATAGTAAAGCTAATGCAAAAATAGTGTAAGCCCACCGTTATGAATAGGTAGATAATCTTAGTATGCTGTAGCAAATAATAGGCTTTTAGAGACTGACCAAACTAATTAATTAATAGATATTGGAAAATTGATAAAATGTGATAAAAGATGATATTTTATAACTCTAATGAGTAGAATGCGATACTTTTAAAATTGAATGATTGTATGAATGTATTTTGGTGGTAATCGTCTTTATTATTTACAAATTTTAAAGAACTACTGAAGGTCAAATTGTAAAAATTGATATATATTTTGTAAATCGTTTTTCATTGTTAATGCTAATTTAGAGTATTTATTTGTATCATATTAACAAGTTTATGATATTTTAACAAAACAACGAAATGACACTATTTGTCATTTATTGAAGAATAATAAAATCTATTTCCTTACAATTTTTTTACCGTTTCAATTTTTCTTACCTGTTTTAGAGTATTAAGTCAATCTTCCTCGTTTGATTTTATATCAATTATAAATCTTCATGAGCAGGTTGTTGAAAAAGAAGTAAAAATAAAAGGGCACTTAATAAAATTATGGAAACAAGCGCAGTTTCTTTTGAAGTTTCGAATTTTCGTCGTTGTTCAAAATGGCAACAATAACCGACATACATCTCTTTGAAGCTTTTCGCACGTCTCAAGCTCTCGGGCAGGCGTCATTTAAATTAAAACCCCCCTTGGTTCGTTGCTGTCTCTAGCCCTCTTTCTGGAGTCGCTCTTCAAGATACGCAGGATGAAAAGCAGATCTCAAGGTCGGAAACGACAAAGAGTGGGTCTTTCAAGTTTCGGGGCAAAAATTTCGCGAGACAAGACGTTAAAAACAATTTTGTATCTTATAACGTTGCCATGTACATACAAGCACGTTTTGTAAGTCAAACTTCAAATATGTCTAGCGAAATTCGTAAGAAAATAAGCATTCCAAAATTCATTAACAGTTTACATTGAAATAACGTTCAAACTACACGCGTGGTAATCGTAAACGAGGAATTCAAATACAATGAAAGGAGGCACATTTAGGGGTTTGTGTATATTATATGCGAGTGCGCCGGTCGAGAAAAGCCCTAGACTCTCTCTCTTTCGCTCTCTAGAACGAGTCTTTGTCTAAATCGCGGGGGTGTCGATATAAATTGCCCCTCTGAACACAGGCGCGCGCGGCAAGAAGCCTACAGGGAGAAAGTCGGAGAGCTTCTTTATATACCCATGCTTCGTTGTGTGGTCTTGGCGAAGAACGGAAGGGTTCGCCAAAACGACAGACGCGTATGATTTTATCAAGCTTGCCGGATTCGCCAGGAATATCTGTATATTGCTGTCTTGTTAAACGTATCGCTGCGCTGGAGTGAATTTCAGAGTTTCCCAGTAACAACCGTTGGTCTCTTAAAGTAAGGTTTGTAGACAATTTTTAAGTGCAATAATTTCCCAGTGAACTTTATGACGATAAAAAAAAGTATTTATCGGAAGAATTTTATCATAATCATTATTGTTTACGTAAATAAAAAGTTTTTTGATAAAAATTATTGACTTTCTTGCACTCAATAAAATACATCCTTTATGAAATTGGAAAATATTGGAATACATTCTGAGATAGAAAATGCACATTATCCAATAATGCAATAAATTTTATGTAATTTTTTTTTATTTTTCATTTGACGTTATTTCCAAGCGAGGAGAGTAAATTCGATTACGCCCCTCCGGAACGTTTTCAAGGCAACCGTTGCTATAGTAAGAGTTCCTCCTGAGCGCGCGTGAAGTTTGACTTGGGTTCTAAAGTATTTTCATCTCAAAGTGATATGTACTTTTGTATAATTTTAAACTTGAAGGGAGAAGACCGCGCTCGAGGAGAAAAAAAGTCCATCCGTTGGAAGAGCGAGATTAAAATATTTCATGAAATACATGAATGCACCTGCTTTATCAAATGATCGAAAATTAAGTTATCAATCCACGCTGAAAATAAATTAAAAATTATTTAATGCAATCGTTGTAGAACAAAAATGTCAGACGACGGCGGCGGTGGTGACGGCAGTAGCGATTTCAGCAGCGACGACGATGGCATCTTTGGCATCGCCAACAGCCGCTCGCTGGACGAGGTACAGCCGCTGCCGCTCATACGAAATCCCGAGGATGCCGAGAAACTCGAGGAATTCCAGAAGCTGCTGCGATCGATGATGGACTCGAGAGCCGGTTCGCTCGAGGATGACGAGCCCCTGGCAATACCACCGCGACCACCGCCGGCGACGGCCTCCAGCCCGGAGCAGAGCCAGGCCGCCGCAGCTGCAGGTATCGTACACGATAAAGTGAACAAAAAAAACAGCAACAACATTTTTTTTCGTTTCGCTCCAACTTGAAAACAAAAACAAGAAAAAAGAGTACGATAACATGCCAAGCGAAATTGCTCGGGCTATTTTCTCCCTGTGTATGAGTTAAACTTTTTCTACAGGCAGTAGTAAAAACATATACGCAGAAGTAAAAACACGTATGTACGCACACGTAGGGTCAATAAAAGGGCTCTCGTACGAATGCTTGTGCAAATGGGGAAAATCTTTGCACAAAAAGCTTCATGGAAACTTATAACCTGTTGAGAAGCTGAACACACCAAAGTTTCCAGGGTAAATTACCCCGCAATATGAACCAGACGTCGAATAGCACAAAAAAGCTGTTTTTGTAGCTGCAACTTGCTATGGTCCTCCTGGAGTCTTTGACTTCATTTTTCGTATGAATATAATACAAGCAGTATAAGAAGTATATTTCGTGATAAAAAACGAAATTTTATTTTACAAAATAATTTAAACAACTCAAAAAAGTTATTAATTAATAAATTTAACGCGATAAAAGATATTGTCACGAGAACATTAGAACAAATGCCTGAACATTCTTTATTTTGTTAACGCTTTACTGAAAACCCGTTGTCGGCACGCAATTTATCTAATTTCTATGAAATGTGCAGGTGAGTAAGCCAAAGTGTAGTTTCTAAATTAAACTCATAAAACGACCACGAATTCAGCGCAGCGCGCGCTTGCGGTTATTTCGGCTGGTGCGGTGCAAGCTCTCGAAATCTGCGATAAAAAAGCTTGCGACAAGGGAGCATTATGCTAGGGTGCGGAAATATTTTATGCGAAATAGGTTTACTATCGAAATCCATTCAATCGAGTTTTTTTTTATATTTCAATAAAATTGTATCGTTAAAAAAATGTTTAATTAAGGGATATAAATAACAATTGAAGCGTTTTATCATTATTCAAAAAAAAAAAGAAAGAAAAGAAACAGAAAATTGTCTGTAACGTAAAGTTTTTACATGATTTTTACATGATTTACCATTGAAAAGTTTCTCGATGTTGTAACACGTCGACTTCAATCATCGTCGCTTCCGCAGTTCTTTGGCCTGGACGTGCAGTAGATTCGCCTTCAAAACTTTATGGCATCGATTTTCGCAAGAAAAAACTCAATTGATTATCCTCGATCCATCTAGGCGTGATAAATTATTATCGTCAACGGCTCCTCGCAGGCAGTAGAGTCGGTGCGTTCGAGACGATTATGTGTGCCCCGGTGGTGGTCGACGCTGCCCGAAAGCTCGCTGCGGAATAAAAGCTGTATTGGGTAGAAAAAAGCGCCGAATCACGATTATATCCTTGCCAATATTTATCGCTCGGAATCTAGCGAGCTACTGCGGGAAACTCTATCGATGCTGGCTTGTGCTTGCTTGCGTCGCGTGCGGCGCAGTGCCACATGCACACACATATACAAAAACGTACATGTAGCCAAGCGTAGCAATCGCGGATATAATCGCGTGTCTCTTGCATGACAATATACACCGGGACAAAGCGAAGGAGTCGTAAAACGTTGCTGGGGTAAAGGGAAATAGAGAAAGAGAGAGAGAAGCCTCGTTGCCGTGGTACACGAGCCCATACGTACGCGAGTGTGTGGGAGGTAACTTGCCTCGACTCGACCTGTCTCGAGAGTAGCTATTGCAGTCGTTATCGTCGAGCCTTTGGCGCATTGATATTTTTTTTTCCTTTATATTTTGCGCGAATTCATGTGAACGCGCCAGCAGCAGCCGAGGCCGCGGCCAACAGCGCGAACAACATGGAATCGGCACCGGGCGATCAGAGGCTCGACTATCTCGGCGCGATCGTTCAGAAGTCCCTGAAACTCAAGCCGGAAAAATGGGGCCGCCTACTCATGACCGAGGAGTATCGGAATTTCGTCTTCGATTTTCTCGACAACGCCGTTCCGGCTGCGCTCTTCGTCGTGCTCACTCCGAACGCTCAGCTGGTGCCGTCCTGCGGCTTTCCCATACCCTGTCAGAGGACCAAAGGTACGTCACGCAAAATTTGCGCACACAGATTTGCTCGAGAGGAATACTCCATGCTACGTTGAATGTCGATCATCACAGGTGTTTACGCGATAAAGATGCGCATCGCGCCGATTCCCAAAGACAAGGAGGCCTGCGCGTCGATGCTACTGACCGGAGACTTGTCGCATCGGGTGGTCGACGAGCTCGCCACCATAGTCGATAACATATTCGCGCCGTTGCTCTGCAAAGTGGAAAATCATCGCGACTTGCCGACCGTCGCTGTGCAAGACATTTCTAGACACGTACATTCCTTGCGCGGTACTCTTTATCAGGTATATGGCGCTAGATCAACGAACCAAGCGATGTTTACATTTGTACGGTTGATCACGTGCAAAAATTTAACAGGTAAAGGGTCAAGTGAACGGCAGAACGGTTTTACCGATGCCCGCGGGCTTGGAAAAAGTCTCCGAAGTCGAGCGAACGATAATCGAGGAGGGACCGGAGGCCGCCGATCTCTACCTGAAAAGTGCCATCGAGGGCGTCGTCATCAAGTGGGCCTATCTGGTCAACGACGTGGTCACGCACGAGTCGAGCGCCGCCTTCGAAAACGGCCAGAATCCGACTCCCTACGTCGAGCTCGATTATTGGTCGACCAGACTCGCCAACTTGAGGTACATTTTCGAGCAGCTTCGCGAGGACAGAGTTCGCAAGATGGCGGTGATACTGGAGAAGACCGACAGCGCTTACTATCCGTGCTTCAAGACCTTGTTCTCCAACGTCGTGTCCTCGCTGACCGAAGCCAAAGAGATATCTTTGTACTTGTCTCCGCTCGGTAAGGTTTTCAAGCAGGTGGAAGAAATCGATTTCGCCGAGGCCAAACCCATCATGGCCAGTTTGATACACATGATCGGTTTGGCTTGGTCCAATTCTCGATACTACCAGAGCTCGTCCAAACTGATAATCATGCTGAGAATGGTCTCGAATTTGCTCATCCAGGAGGCCAGGAGTTTTCTCGACCCCTCGCTGATTTTTCAGAGCGACGTCGACGAAGCACAGCAACGCGTCCAAATTTCCAAAGGTTATTTTTTTTCTCATTCCCATGCAGCGCTCCATCGATCTAGCGATAATATCCACGCGATAAAACTCGATTGTCTTTCGTCAGACGTACTGGAAGAATTCAAGCGTCAATTCGATTTGCACAAGAACAAACCCGGCCTGAGGGACGACGTGCCCGTGTGGACGTTCAATCCGAGCGCCGTGTTCGGTCGGCTCAACGCCTTCCTCAAGCGGCTGAACGACATCGAGTGGCTGTTCGACACGATGCTCGAGTTCTCGAAATTGGAAAAGATCGAGCTCGGCGGTACGCAGGGTCGCTCGCTCAGCACGCGCATAATGGGCGTCTTCAAGGAGTTCCAGCAGCTGTTCACGGCCTTCACGTCGCGCTCGACCGACGTGCTCGAGCCCGACGACCAGTCCTTCATCCAGGATTGCCGAAAGTTCGCCGCTTCCATCGTCGATCTCGACAGCAAGATGGCCGCCATACTCTGTCAAGCCTTCGACGACTGCAACAATCTCGAGAGTGCGTTCAAGGTCGGTAAAACTGTATTCGATGGAACACGTCGTTCAAATTATTCGGTTGCATGACCCTTGCACTCGTTCGACCCTTGCAGCTGATCAATATAGCCGGTAGCGTACTCGACCGTCCAGTCATTCGGGACCAATTCACCAAACGCTACGGTCGCATCGTCGAGCTGCTCAAGGCCGAGATGAGCGTCGTGGAGAATCTGTTCGATCGGGGCTCGCTGAATCTCATGACGGATTTGCCGCCTCTCGCCGGTGCTCTTCAGTACACGAGTATGCTGAAGCAACGTATCGATCTGCCCGTGCAGGCTTTCAAGTCGTTGCAACATCCGTTCGTATAAACAAATTACCGCCAATTACGAGGCTCCAAGTCGAGTTGATTTTTATACGCTCGCTTTACACGCGCAGAGTTGCCGAGAGCGACGAGGGAAAATGCATTTTGCAGCGCTATGAGACGCTTTACGCTAGGCTCAACGACAAGCAAAGGGTACTATTTATGGAGTGGGTCAAGGCAGTTCCTACGTACGTCGACGTTGGCTTGAACATGCCTCTGCTGAAAAAGGATCAAGTGTCTTTGCTCACGTTGAACTTCGATCAGGAGCTATTCGCTATTTTGAAAGAGGTCAATTACCTTAAACAAATGTGTCACGATAACATTCCAAAGGAAGCTTTAGACGTAAGTATTTCAAGTGCATTTTTACACTTGTACAAATTTATCGATCACTCTCGTATTTGTTTTCGTTAGGTCGCCGAAATGTCCGAAACTTTCCGCAAATTCAGAACACTTCTGACTGGTACTGTGACATCTTACAATGATATTCGACGTACGTGCCGTAGAGTCGAATTCAATCTGATAGAGAAGGAAATAGCTCGGATCGACACGCTCATCGAGCGCGGCCAGAATGAGTTACGTTGGAACTCCGAGGGTTTGCTCGACTACATGACGGAACTCAACGGTTTGGTCCAAGATCTTTACTGCCGGGTCAAGCTGACCCAAGCGAATGTCGAGAAGATCCGCAACATTATCGAGCCTTGGACAAAAGTGCCGCTCATCGAACGAAAAGATCGTCGTAAACATGCCCTGCTGTCGATCGAGGACCGAGCCGAAAAGGTCGCCAAGAGGTACGCGGAAATTCGTAAGGCGGCCGAGCATATAGAGCTCCTGTTAGCGGAAAACAAGAAACTCTTCGAGATCAAGGACGATGAAGACGAATCCTGGCGAGCCTACGTCAAATACGTCGACAAGATCGTCGTCGAGTGTCTGCGCAAGTCCGTCGGTTGCTCGCTTGGCTATCTCGCTGAAAATATGGACCCTACCTCCAAGAACGAGCCACTGCTTGAGGCGCGTCTGGAACTCAGGGAGCCGGACTTATTTTTTATCCCGTCGCTGGAACCTGACGATCCCGATGGTTTGGATCAATTGCTGAGCAGTCTCTTAGACGATATCATAGGAATGGCAAGACTGTTGCCGAGGCTTAAAGCTGACGAGGATTCTTATGCCGATGAATTGGAAAAAGATGAAGATATCAACGGAATGAAAACAGAAATACTTACAGCTGTTGCCAAAGCTGTTGAAGAGGCCTCTGATTTTTGTGGAGTTTTCGAAGGTGTACTTTTAAAATTCATGCATTTTACATCATAGAATTTTAATCTACTTCCTTGTTTTCTAGGATATTCATATTTATGGTTGGAAGATAGAGAAGTAACCATGCACCAATTTCTCGATTACAGTAGGCAATTGACCATGGAAGAAATCGAAATGATAACAGCATTTGATCCCAAGGCCCCATCAAAAAATCCTCCGAAAATGGAGCAGTTTCGCGAACAAATAGATCTTTACGAGAGTCTTTATACCGAAGTTGAAGAAATTAGCTCATCTAAAATATTTTGTGTTTGGTTTCGTGTCGATTTAAGACCATTCCAACAATCACTACTGAATACCATTTGTAAGTGGTCGAGTATGTTCAAAAAATACTTGGTAGAACGAGTGACGAGCAGCCTATCGGATCTTGGAGCTTTCATCAGGTAAAACATTCTATTGCTGTTCAAAATATTTACATTAAAATTTATGTAAAGGTAAAGGATAGTATATTTCTTCCACGTCATTCAATTCAATTTTATAAATTTTTATCTTCAAAATTAAAGTGACTTAAATTGAATTTTAATATTGAAATTTTTTGTTTTTGTTGTAAAATTATGCTTTTACAAGTCTTTTTACTTTAGACCCATGAAACATGTTTCCAATAACGTTTTAAAAACTTCTTTATAACGTTTTTAATATCTTTTCAGATTTTTTAATAAACTTCATTTTGATCTTTTAAATATGGTTTAAAGAACGCTAAAATTAAAATTTTTTTATTGAATTTAAATAAAATTTTAATGTACTTAGGTTGGCTGATGAAGGTTTACTTCAACAAGTACAACCCGGTGACTATACAGGTTTAGTGAGCATAATGGGATTTTTAATGCAAGTAAAAGAAAGACAACCAATTACCGACGAAATGTTTCAACCTTTACAAGAAACGATCGAACTTTTGAAGTTTTATGACCAAGATATTCCGGAAGAAGTTAATGTCCTTTTGCAGGAGCTTCCAGATCAATGGCTGAATACTAAAAAGTTAGCCTTGACAGTAAAACAACAAGTAGCCCCACTACAAGCAGGTAACTACTGATAAAATATATTATTTTTTTGTTCAATATATCAATTTGATTATTTTCAGGTGAAGTCGCCAGAATTCGTGCTCGAATATCTGCGTTCGATACGACAATCATTCAATATCGTGAAGCCTTTAGGCGCTATGGATTTTTCAAGTACGACTGCGAGGATCCTTACGCACAACTCGATGAGGCGCATAAAGAAATTACTCTGTTAGAAACCCAAATGCGTGATATACAAGAATCGGCCTCCCTATTCGAGGTCCTCGTCCCCGAATTTAAACAGCTGAAGCAGTGCAGAAAAGAACTCAAGATGCTCAAGCAGTTGTGGGATTACGTGAATATCGTGAGGAGTAGCATCGAGGGTTGGAAAACTACGCCATGGAAAAAGATCGACGTCGAGAATATGGACATCGAGAGTAAAAAATTTGCCAAAGAAATAAGAGGTAATTTATTGTTCACATCGAATCTAATTGTAAAAAGAAAAAAATTTATAATTTGTAATTGAAGGTTTGGATAAGGAAATGCGACCTTGGGATACGTACATAATGCTTGAAGCTACCGTGAAGAATATCCTTACGTCGCTGAGAGCTGTTGGCGAGTTGCAGAATCCAGCAATTCGAGAAAGACACTGGTTGCAATTGATGAAGAGCACGAAGGTAGCTTCAAAATTGTCCATGACAAAACAAGAATTGTACATAATCAATTTGCCTGACAGCAAAGACCTTTTCTTAATAGACAATAGGAGATATCATTCGAAAACTTATAACATCTAAATCAATTATACATTTCTAATTTTTCATACTGTACATAATCATCATACGTTTTAAAATAAGTTTTATTTTTCGTTTTCACATAAAAAACCGAATTGTAAATAATATAGTTAGTTGCACTGCTGTAAATATGCTATGAATGTTACAGAAATTGGGCGACATGACTCCAGAGATGACCGTAAGTTCAATGTACATACAGAGCACATTAAGATTTAGTTATAATTTAGTTGCAACTTTTTTCTTCAATAGTAAATATAAAAATAATAAGCTTCAGGCATGTTTAAATATTATTAATTAGAATACTTAAATAGACCGTAGTCTTAGTTTATTCAATTACATTTTTATAACTGATCATTCACACACCATGCACATCATGTATCAACATCAAATGCAATTTATTTACTTGTTGACAAACCAATAGAATTTTACTTTCAAAGAAAAAATTGATAAATTAAATATTTTCATTTCACATCGTCGGTTACATCAATCATTCATTATGTATGCAAATCTTTGTATTATTAAATATTGGTAAAAATAAAGCATATGCAAATATGTAAAGCTTTGAATCAATTCATTCATCCTAAAATTCATCATTCACTGAAATTTTCTATTCAACTGAATTAATAATTATTAACACTGTAGGTCAATCAGCATGTGACTTAAGTATAATTATAATTTTTACATAATTAGTTGAATTCATAAACAATTAGAGAAATATGATGAAATAAACATAGGTTGAGTTCGTGATGGATGATGCAACTACATTGGCTGATTTGTTGGAACTAAATTTACATGATTGCGAAGAAGAAGTCAAAAATATTGTTGATAAAGCTGTCAAAGAAATGTCAATGGAAAAATATCTTAGAGAACTAAATGTGACATGGTCTGGAATGGAGTTTGAAAAAGAAGTTCATCAACGAACTGGGGCAACATTACTTCGAGCCAGTGAAGAATTAATCGAGAGTCTTGAAGAAAATCAGGTCAGAATATTATAATAAAAATATTGAAAAAATAATATTTTAAACTAAATTTTTTACAGGTTCAATTACAAAATTTAATAACGTCGAAGTTTATAGCCCATTTTTTGGACGAAGTTTCTTGCTGGCAAAAAAAGTTAAGCATAGCTGACCAAGTAACGACGATTTGGTTTGAAGTGCAACGCACTTGGACTCATTTAGAAAGTATATTCATGTCCTCGGAGGACATTCGAAAGCAGCTTCCAGTTGACGCCGAGAGATTCGATCGCATCGATCAGCAATTCAAGCATATGACTCATGAAATGGCAAAAACTCCGAACGTTGTCGAAGCTACAAACAAAGAAGGTTTGGTTGGTACTTTAGATATTTTGCAGAAAGAGTTAGTTCTATGTGAAAAAGCTTTGGCAGAGTATTTAGAAACGAAAAGATTAGCGTTTCCGAGATTTTATTTCGTTTCATCTAGCGATCTGCTGGATGTACTTTCGAATGGTAATCAACCCGAAATTGTAGCTAAACACTTGATAAAATTATTTGACTCAATGGCAAGACTTCGCTTTCACGAGGATAATACCAAGCCTGAAAAGATAGTTGGTAAGTACCTAACAAAAGTAAAGTAATCAAATCATTGTAGATATTTTTTTATGTGCCATTAACTTTATGACTCAGGTATGTTTGCCAAAGACGGGGAATACGTTGAATTTACAAATTTTGAAATGGTCTGTGAGGGTGCAGTTGAAGTCTGGCTCAATAGGTTGCAAAACGCTATGCGAGTATCCATCCGCCATTACTTTCAAGACGCCGTAATAGCGTACGAGGATAAGCCCCGAGAACAGTGGTTGTTCGATTATCCAGCTCAAATTTCACTTTGCGGAACTCAAGTTTGGTGGACGACTGAGCTGAACGCCGCTTTTGCCAGACTCGAGGAAGGTTACGATAACGCCTTGAAAGATTACTTGAAAAAGCAGATATCCCAACTGAGCACACTCATAACATTATTACTCGGAGAGCTTAACAAAGGAGATCGGCAGAAGATCATGACGATTTGTACGATTGATGTTCATTCTCGAGATGTTGTAGCTAAACTGGTACAGTCTAAAGTAGAGACGGCTCAGGCTTTTCAATGGCAGAGTCAACTCAGACATAGATGGGATGAAAAAGAGAAAGATTGTTTTGCCAATATTTGTGATGCTCAGTTCAGGTATTCTCACGAATATTTGGGTAATACTCCAAGGTATCAGATAGATCTCTCAATAGTGCATCAATTTTTCTGTAAAAACTGAACTAATCATTTATTTTCAGATTAGTAATAACTCCTTTGACCGATAGATGTTACATAACGTTAACCCAATCACTTCATCTCGTCATGGGCGGTGGCCCAGCGGGACCAGCTGGTACTGGTAAAACTGAAACGACCAAAGATTTAGGACGTGCTCTTGGCATAATGGTGTATGTATTCAATTGTTCCGAACAAATGGATTATAAATCTTGCGGCAATATTTACAAAGGCCTTGCTCAAACGGGTGCTTGGGGTTGTTTTGATGAGTTCAACAGAATATCCGTGGAAGTATTATCGGTAGTAGCCGTTCAAGTGAAATCCGTTCAAGATGCCATAAAAGATAAAAAGACTATCTTTAATTTTATGGGAGATATGATAAAGTTGACTCCATCGGTTGGAATTTTTATCACAATGAACCCCGGATACGCCGGTAGAACTGAACTTCCGGAAAACTTAAAAGCTCTTTTTAGGCCTTGTGCTATGGTAGTACCCGATTTTGAGCTAATCTGCGAAATCATGTTAGTCGCTGAAGGTTTTCAAGATGCTCGAGTTCTCGCAAGAAAATTCATTACCTTATACACTCTTTGCAAAGAATTACTCTCAAAACAAGATCACTATGATTGGGGCTTGAGAGCCATCAAATCTGTTCTCGTAGTAGCTGGAAGCTTGAAACGCGGTGATCCAGGCCGCCCAGAAGAAGAAGTTTTGATGCGAGCCCTTCGTGACTTCAATATTCCGAAAGTGGTGTCTGATGATTTGCCGGTTTTCATGGGTCTAATTGCTGATCTTTTTCCTGCTCTCGATGTGCCACGAAAAAGAGATATTGAATTCGAGAAAACTGTGAAAGCAGCTGCTACAGACTTATTTTTGCAACCAGAAGATGGTTTTATACTGAAAGTGGTTCAATTGGAAGAGCTATTAGAGGTCAGACATTCTGTTTTCATCGTGGGTTCAGCTGGTTGCGGCAAAACCCAAGTTTGGAAAACGCTATTTCGGACCTATCAGAATATTAAAAGGAAACCGATATTTAATGATCTGAACCCAAAAGCTGTAACAAATGATGAATTGTTTGGTATCATTAATCCTGCGACTCGAGAGTGGAAAGATGGTTTGTTTTCCGTATTGATGCGAGATCAAGCCAATCTCGGGGGTGATAATCCAAAATGGATTGTATTGGATGGCGATATAGATCCAATGTGGATCGAGTCTTTGAATACGGTCATGGACGATAATAAAGTTTTAACTTTGGCGAGCAATGAAAGAATTGCATTGACACCATCAATGAGATTAGTTTTTGAAATTTCAAATCTGCGAACTGCAACGCCGGCAACGGTCTCGCGTGCAGGTATTTTGTACATTAATCCTCAAGATTTAGGCTGGAATCCTTACGTCACCAGTTGGATCGAAACAAGAAGTTCGCCTTCTGAAAAATCAAATTTGGTCATCCTCTTTGATCGATATATTCCTATTTGTTTAGAAACAGTCAAAGTGAGATTCAAGAAAATTACACCCATTGCCAACATGGCACATATAGAAATGCTTTGCCATCTTTTAACTTGTTTGTTGACTCCGGAGCTGACCATGAATGAATTCTCCAAAGATCACTACGAGATCTATTTTGTTTTCGCGGCAGTTTGGGCATTTGGTTCCGCAATGTTTCAAGATCAAACCATCGACCATCGCGTTGAATTTAGCAAGTGGTGGTGTAATGAGTTCAAGCAAATTAAATTCCCGGCTCAAGGAACGGTTTTCGATTACTATATTGATCCTGAAACTAAAAATTTTCTTCCATGGACGGAACGTTTGCCGAAATTTGAACTGGATGCTGATTTACCTTTACAGGCAGTTTTAGTTCACACGGCTGAGTCAATTCGTATCCGTTACTTTCTAGATTTATTAATGGAAAAAAAATTTCCGGTAATGCTGGTGGGACCCGCAGGTAGCGGCAAAACTGTATCAGTAGCTGAGAAACTCCTTCAACTACCTGAAAATTTTACCGTGACAAATGTACCTTTCAATTTTTACACGTCATCCGAAATGCTCCAAAAAATTTTAGAAAAGCCATTGGAGAAAAAAGCTGGCCGAAATTACGGCCCACCCGGAAATAAAACAATGATTTATTTTATCGACGACATGAACATGCCAGAAGTTGACGCTTACGGTACTGTTCAACCACATACGTTGATAAGGCAACACTTGGATTACAATCACTGGTACGATAGAACAAAACTTACTTTGAAAGACATTCACAATTGTCAATATGTGAGTTGCATGAATCCTACAGCTGGTTCATTTACGATCAATCCAAGACTGCAGAGACACTTTGCAGTTTTTGCTGTCAGTTTTCCCAATTCAGAATCTCTTACTACTATTTATGCATCGATACTTTCTCAACATTTAGCGAACGTTGAACACAGGTAATGATTATGATGTAACACTAATTAATCAGTTGATTCCAAATACTAAATAATTTCAGATTTCCACTGATCATCACCGAAATCTGTGGTCCCATTGTCCAAGCTTCATTGCAATTACACCACAGATGTGCCCAAGTTTTCTTACCAACGGCGACAAAATTCCACTACATTTTTAATCTAAGGGATTTATCCAATTGTTTTCAAGGGCTACTTTTCAGTGGTAACGAATGTCTTCAAATTCCATCGGATTTTGTGAGACTGTGGATGCACGAGACTCATCGAGTATACGGTGACAAATTGACCGATGAAAAAGATATCGAATCTTTCACTAAGTTTCAAGTAGATATTCTGAAGAAAAACGTCGAAGAAATCGATGAAAGTGCTATTTTCGAAAAACCAAATATTTATTGTCATTTTGCAGGTAAATTTCAATTATCATTGATTATTTCGTTTGCTACTCTAATTTATCGCTACATATCACTCAGCTTACTGTAAAGACAAGTATTCTGTTTATTAATCGATCATATTTTAGGTGGAGTGGGCGAACCCAAATACATGCCCGTAAAAGATTGGCCCAGCTTGCATCGATTACTGACGGAAGCTCTGGTGAGCTACAATGATTTAGTCTCGGCAATGAATTTGGTATTATTCGAAGATGCCATGATGCACGTGTGTCGAATAAATCGAATACTAGAGTCACCTCGAGGAAGCGCATTACTCGTGGGAGTCGGAGGTTCTGGCAAGCAGAGTCTCGCGCGTTTGGCTGCCTTTATTAGCTCCTTGGAAGTCTTTCAAATTCAACTGCGTAAGGGTTACGGCATATCAGATTTGAAATTAGAACTTGCCGCTCTGTATTCCAAATCTGGTCTGAAGAACATCGGAATTATGTTTTTAATGACAGATGCACAAGTACCGAACGAGCATTTTTTGGTCTTGATCAACGATATGCTCGCTTCAGGAGAAATCCCTGATTTATTTCCAGAGGACGAAGTTGAAAATATAATTGCCAGTGAGTTGATGGTTAACGAATTTAAAAAAATTCGTCGATCTATTTAAATATATTTTTAGGCGTTCGAAATGAAGTAAAAGGAGCTGGTATCTTGGACACTCGAGAAAACTGCTGGAAATTCTTCATTGACCGAGTGCGTCGTCAACTTCGAATCGTACTCTGTTTCTCGCCTGTTGGGTCGACTTTGCGCGTTCGATCTCGTAAATTTCCAGCTATCATCAATTGCACTGCGATCAATTGGTTCCATGAATGGCCACAAGAGGCGCTCATGTCGGTCTCCAAAAGATTCTTACAAGAACTCGTGGAATTGCCTGAAACATACCTGTAAAAACATTTGCTTAGAATTAATAACATAAAAATAATTTTTAAATTTCTCACTTTTTTATAGGGAATCTGTGGCGAAATTTATGGCTCATGCACACACAACAGTTAATTCAGCGAGCAAACAATATTTGGCCAGTGAAAGACGATACAACTATACCACACCGAAATCTTTTCTGGAGCAAATCAGTTTGTACACCAAATTACTTCGAAATAAATCGAAAGAGCTTAAAGGCAGAGTAGAAAGACTGGAAAATGGCTTGGCGAAATTGAGATCCACCGCTGTTCAAGTTGATGATTTGAAGAAAAAATTAGCCGTTCAAGAGATAGAACTGCAACAGAAGAACGAAGCAGCTGACACCCTGATTGCTATAGTCGGCGTAGAAACAGAGAAGGTTCAAAAAGAAAAAGCTTTAGGTAACTCTATCTGACGAAATTGATAAAATCGAATAAATAAATTCAACTTTTTTCAATATTTTTGCAGCCGATGAGGAAGAGGCAAAAGTAGCCATGATTGCTGAAGAGGTATCGAAAAAACAAAAAGACTGTGAAGCTGATTTATTGAAAGCAGAACCAGCTTTGGTTGCAGCTCAAGAGGCTCTGAATACTTTGAATAAAGCAAATTTGACTGAATTAAAATCGTTCGGCTCACCACCGGGTGTTGTGACCAACGTCACGGCCGCTGTGATGGTTCTGCTAGCTCCCAATGGAAAAATTCCCAAAGATCGAAGCTGGAAAGCGGCCAAGGTATGAACAAAATTACTATTTTGTTTTCTGAATTATACTCTTCGATTTTAAATTTTTCATTCTAGATAACAATGGCCAAAGTCGATGCTTTCCTCGATGCATTAATCAATTACGATAAGGAGAATATTCATCCGGAAGTCATAAAATCGATTCAACCTTATTTAAAGGATTCCGAGTTCGAGCCTGATTTCGTGAAAACGAAATCAGCCGCTGCCGCAGGTTTGTGCGCGTGGGTTATTAATATAATCAAATTTTACGAAGTGTTTTGCGACGTCGAACCGAAACGCAAAGCTTTAGCACAGGCTAATGCCGAATTGGCCGCGGCTCAGGAAAAATTGGCTGGTATCAAGAGGAAAGTTGCGGTAAGTAATTTTAGATACTCCTGAAATACAAACTATTTTACAAGTGATTATATTGTTTGATACAGTCACTAGAGGATCAATTGGCTAAATTGACAGCTGACTTCGAGCAGGCCACAGCGGAAAAGTTAAAATGTCAGCAAGAAGCAGATGCGACCAATGCGACGATTGCTTTGGCTAATCGTCTAGTCGGAGGCTTGGCATCTGAAAACGTTCGATGGGCCGATTCAGTGGCAAAGTACTGAATGAATTTTACACGTTCAAAGCTCTCTTGTCGTTCAAAGTTTTTTATATACGATACTGTTTTTCAAGTCTCATGCAGCAAGCATCGACGCTCCCTGGTGATGTGCTATTAGTCACTGCTTTCATCTCGTACGTCGGCTGCTTCACCAAACAATTCCGACTCGATCTCGTGAACAAGCAGTGGCTGAATTTTTTACGCACCGTCGAGCCAATCGTACCTATCACTGATGGTCTCGATCCTTTGACATTATTGACCGACGACACACAGATTGCCAAATGGAATAACGAAGGGTTGCCGAACGATCGGATGTCTACTGAAAATGCCACTATTTTGACTAATTCGGATCGGTGGCCGTTGATGATCGATCCACAAGTAATGTTCTATTACTGCACGATTACTTAATATAGTATATTTTGCAACAAGTGCGCGAAGCAGTTGACTCATCCAGGAGTTGTTTTCACCCGAGCGTAGCGAGGGTGCAAAGACTCCTGGGTGAGTCAACTTCCTCGCGGACTAGTTGCAAACGATATTTTTTAACTCTGCTTGCGAGAAACTAGGGTTTTCTGACGCTTTAAGGTTAGAAAACCCGTGTTTCGCGCACGCAGTGTTAAAAAAATGATTATGTAATCATGGTTTCTTTTCATTGAATACGTAGCTTCAAGGAATCAAATGGATAAAACAAAAGTACGGAGACACTTTGAACGTTATTCGTCTCGGTCAACGAGGCTATTTGGATGTTATCGAGCAGTCATTGGCAGCCGGCGCGATAGTCCTCATAGAAAACATTGGCGAGCACGTCGATCCAGTGCTCGACTCTCTGCTCGGACGTAATCTCATAAAAAAAGGCAAAGCTCTGAAGATCGGGGACAAAGAAGTCGAGTACAATTCGAATTTCCGATTAATTCTGCACACAAAACTGGCGAATCCTCATTACAAACCGGAGATGCAGGCTCAGACGACTTTGATTAATTTCACCGTAACTCGAGATGGCTTGGAGGATCAGCTGCTGGCAGAGGTCGTCAAAGCTGAACGGCCGGATCTCGAAGAGTTGAAGGCGGATTTGACTAGACAACAGAATGACTTCAAGATTACCTTAAATAGCCTTGAAGACTCATTACTATCTAAGTTAGCACGCATTTTTCTTCTCGTCTAACGAAGACGATCTTCGCTTTTAATATGGACAAGAAAATCCTTCTTCTCGAAATGCGGCGAAAAATATCCTCTTTTTGAAAGTGCAGCGGATAAAACACTTTTTGGTTTAGAAGGAAAATTTTATTAAAATTCCAATTTATTCTGTATCTAAATGAAAAATGAAAATTCCGTTTCACCCGTGAATCGTGATAAAGCTTTGTCATAAAATTTTGTGGCCATTCGAGTTCGCAGAGAATCAGAAGCGTACATATTACGAGTGTTGCCCAGTTTCCCCTCATCCCACTTTCTTGCCAAGCAAATGAATGTACTATTCTTGCGGTAGTTGGAAAAAAGGATTTTTTTCGCAGTAATTTTTGATCGGAAGATTTTCTTGTTAAGTACCGGCGTTATTATTATTTTCCTTTACCCTCTTTCCCTGTTCGAGTCAAGTATTTTCCGATGAAATTATTTAATCTCTCTTGCTTAGGCTATCATCAGCAGGAGCCAACGTACTGGGTGACACGGCGCTCGTGGAAAATCTCGAGACGACTAAGAAAACGGCCGCCGAGATAGAGTGCAAAGTGACGGAGGCCAGGGAGACGTCGAAAGAGATCGACACGGCGCGCGAGTTTTACCGTCCGGCTGCAGCGCGCGCCTCCCTGCTTTACTTCATCCTCAACGACTTGAACACCATCAATCCGATCTATCAGTTCTCCCTGAAAGCCTTCAGCGTCGTGTTCCAGAAGGCCGTGCTGAAGGCCGTGCCGGCGGCCGACGTCGCGGGCCGCGTGACCAATCTCATCGAGTGCATCACCTACTCGGTCTTCATGTACACGAGCCGGGGCCTCTTCGAGTGCGACAAGCTCATCTTCGCCTCGCAGATGGCCTTCCAGGTGCTGCTCGCGCGCGAGGAGATCAACGTCGTGGAGTTGGACTTTCTGCTGCGCTTTCCCATCACGCCTCACGTTACCTCGCCCGTCGATTTTCTCACCAACACCAGCTGGGGAGGCATACGCAGCTTGGCTTCAAGAGACGAGTTCAGGTATCATCGTATTCTCTCTATTTACACGTAGCTGACTTTTTTTGGGAGTTTTAACTTCACAAGTACAATCTGCTCATTAGCAGACAGTTTCAGATTTAACCACTAGATGTTTGAATAAAAAAATAACATTTTGCACGTATGCGCCATTGTAATATAGGGGCAACTATTCTTTTTGAGTAGAAATTGGCCCTATCTTAGATATTTTCCCGCAGGAACTTGGATCGGGACATCGAAACGTCGTCGAAGCGTTGGAAAAAGCTCGTCGAGTGCGAGTGCCCGGAGCGCGAGAAATTCCCTCAAGAGTGGAAAAACAAGTCAGCCATACAGAGATTGTGCATGCTGAGAGCTCTGCGCCCCGATCGAATGACTTATGCCATCGCCGCTTTCATCGAGGAAAAGCTGGGGCCGCGCTACGTCGAAAGCCGCACGGTCGAATTCGCCAAATCCTTCGAGGAAACCAGCCCATCGACGCCGATTTTTTTTATACTTTCACCTGGAGTCAATCCTCTGAAGGTATGTCGTCAATTTATTTTTTCGTTTTTCCTAACTGATTTCGATAAAATTTTAATAAAAATACAGGATGTGGAGGATTTGGGTCGACGATTAGGATTCACATCGGATGCACAAAATTTCCACAACGTTTCGTTAGGACAAGGACAAGAAAGTGTGGCCGAACAGGCGATGGACGTGGCATCTAAAAAAGGCCACTGGGTCGTGTTGCAAAACATACATCTGGTGAAAAAATGGCTGCCGCTGCTGGAGAAAAAGTTAGAAGTCGCATCCGAGGGCTCGCACGAAGATTATCGAGTTTTCATGAGCGCCGAACCTGCCAGTACACCAGCAGGCCACATTATACCCCAGGTTAATTTATTCGTCGATGATTTCGACTTTTTTGTCTCGAATAAATTAATTTTACTAATTTTACAAATTTGTAGGGTATTCTTGAATCGTCGATAAAAATCACGAACGAGCCGCCCACGGGCATGCAGGCGAATTTGCACAAAGCTCTGGATAACTTCACGCAAGAAACTCTGGAGATGTGCAGCAAGGAGGCCGAGTTTAAAGTAATACTATTTTCGCTCTGCTACTTTCACGCCGTCGTGGCAGAGCGACGAAAATTCGGACCCCAGGGCTGGAATAAAATATACCCCTTCAACGTGGGTGATTTGAACATAAGCGTGCACGTTTTGCACAACTATCTGGAGGCGAGCGCCAAGATCCCCTGGGAGGACCTGCGATATCTTTTCGGCGAAATAATGTACGGAGGTCATATTACGGACGACTGGGATCGACGACTGTGCGTGTCTTACTTGGAGGAGCTCATGCAGCCGGATCTCGTTGACGGGGAGCTTCAGCTCGCGCCGGGTGAGCTTTTCAATTCGTCGCATAAAATATTTATGCGTTGCTGTAAAATTGTCAAATACTATGCTCTTGACTTTATACGCAGGCTTCCTCGCCCCACCCAACACGGATATGGTCGGCTTTCATACGTACATCGACGAGGCTCTACCCGCCGAATCTCCGTATCTGTATGGCTTGCATCCGAACGCCGAGGTCGGTTTCTTGACCACGAGCTCGGAAAATCTATTCAGGACCGTCTTCGAGATGCAGCCCAGAGACGCGGGCAGCTCGGGCGGCCAAACCGTCACTAGGGAGGACAAAGTCAAACAGATCCTCGACGAGATCCTGGAAAAATTGCCCGAGGAGTTCAACATGGTCGAGATAATGGGCAAAGTGGAGGAACGCACGCCCTACGTGATCGTGGCCTTTCAGGAGTGCGAGCGCATGAACTATTTAACGAACGAAATCAAGCGATCGCTGCGCGAACTGGATCTCGGTTTGAAGGGCGAGTTGACCATCACCTCGGACATGGAGGACCTGGAGACTGCCCTATTTCTCGATCAAATCCCTCAAACTTGGACTCAGCGAGCTTACCCGTCGCTGCTGGGCTTGACCGCTTGGTTCGTCGATTTGCTGCTCAGAATTCGCGAATTAGAGAGCTGGTCGACAGACTTTGTCGTAAGATTTTTATTATTTTACCTGTACGATTTGTATCTTAAATATACTTTATCGACCCGAGACCTATTATGTTTTTAGTTGCCTGCATCGGTGTGGCTGGCCGGGTTTTTTAATCCGCAGTCGTTGTTAACGGCCATTATGCAATCAACGGCTCGCAGGCACGAGCTACCTCTCGACAAAATGTGTCTACAGTGCGACGTCACGAAGAAAAATAAAGAAGAATTTACGTAAGTAGAGCCCCGACCAACATTACGAATTGGCAGCTGTAAGCTGTTTTTTTTTTTTTTTTTTACAGAACGGCACCTCGCGACGGAGCTTACGTACACGGCATATTCATGGAAGGAGCTAGATGGGACGTCTCAGCCGGTATAATAGTCGACTCGCGACCGAAGGAGCTGTTTCCCGCGATGCCGGTCATCAATATACGTGCCATAACCCAAGACAAGCAGGATTTGCGTAACATGTACGAGTGTCCAGTTTACAAGACTCGAACCCGTGGCCCGACTTACGTTTGGACCTTCAATTTAAAGACTAAAGACAAGTCGGCCAAGTGGACCTTGGCCGGTGTAGCTTTGCTTCTGCAGACTTGAAGCGATGTGTCGTTTCGGCTTTTAATGAAACTTTCTATGTACCTACGCTCTTACTTCGTGTGCAAAATAATAAAAGTTTGGTATTGCCTTGAAGAAAGTACTTAAGGTTTGGTATTCATGAGGAAACCCCGAATAAAAGTATCGTTGCGACGAGCTAGCATACAAGCATGAAAAAATCAATAAACTCGTTGGGTAGATAGCTTCTTTATTCGACAGACCTCGTAGTGGCCCCTTCGATTTCGTTATGAACCAAGACTAATTTTCACTTCATGTTTCTCTCAAATTTTTACTTATTTCTTGTAAAGAAAAAGTTAAGAATTAAAAACTAATTGTAACGATAAATAAACAAAAAATATATACATAACAATAATACACGTCCTTGTATAAATTTATTTATAACTTGAATTCGATAACACATTTATTGAAAGATTGCAGATGTGTATCGGGACTGATAAATTCGTATAAAAATACAAACAAATAACAATAATAAAATTTTTTATAAAATATCAGGAAATTATCTTTATATCTTCTTAGAAGTTCAAGTTGAATGGGAAAACCGAGATTTGTAATGGTGGGTATTTCGACTGATCGAAAAACATCGGAATATCGCTTAGAGACTTTATAAAAAAACTTTTACAGCTTCATAAATGTAAATTTATTCTTAAACTCGAACTATATAATTGATAATTTTAATTTTAGTTTTGCCTAAAATAAAATACTATACTTATTAATTTCATTGCTAGACCACCTCGATCAAAAGCAATAGGACGTTTTCATTCATAGTAAGTCTAGCAATTGTAAAAAAACTCTCACTCATAATTGATGAAGTAATTAAGTCACTCCTTTAAACTTCAACGTTCGGATTCCATAAAAAAGTAAAAAATCATATCCAGTCATTTACGCTAGCAGCAGCCGATGAAAAGACTATTAAGTGCTTGTCTCGCGAGCTTCAGCTGAAAACATGCTTGAAAGATATGACAAAAGAATTTTTAAATTAGACGTCGCAAAAGTGGTGAACTTAATGGCAGTTTTGTTAGACAGCGAAAAAAAGCGACGAAAAAAAAATCATAAAAGAACATCAGAAAAGCAGAACAGTTACTTGCTTAATGCGAGCACTGCCTTTCTTCGAAACAACGGTAATGTATAGTCAAATATCTATTCTCTCAGCTGAACCTTGGATAATCATTTGCATTTTTCATTATTAATGATCATTTTGCATGTTTTTTTGATAAATCCAAACGTAGCGTCGCATGATTTTTCCTTCGAAGCAGCCGGAAATTCGAGTATTTATTCGGCCTTCGTGCATACATGCGAGATAAAGTAAACTGTAATGAAAAAGTACGCGACTCAGTGAGGGTGCAAGCTGGCGCTTTCGAAGCAGCTTTGACTAATGTACCGTTGACATTTTCCTATTTCGATGCCGCCGAGTAAGCGCGACGTCTTACCAGGGACGGCACATCGGAGGGTTCGCATGGCCAAAAATATATAGCCCTTGAAGGATAAAGACTGGAGCGCTAAGTAATTGTAAATCACATTGGACGGTACTTTTTATATTGCTTCATCCGAGCGATTCGTCGTGATATTATTTTTGTGTTAAAAATTAATCTATATTTATTCGTCAAGACAGCAAGTGAATCAAATTGATCGAAATTCATCACTTCTCGGTATAATGTTTATTTCCAAGTCGAGCCACGTGCCTCGCCTTCGCTCGCGTAGCGCCGATGTATAAATATGCTGCAAACGAGAGTGGAAAAATTATTAAAAGAAAAGAAAAAATCCAAGACACGTGTCCGATGAGTAAGTGCGATAAATTACTTGTGGGGGTGATACAGAAAAATCAACACACGCGCGTCACAACAAACATCGGCTCGCTCAAAACAACCAAATTCAATATGTATAATTGTAGAAAACAAGCGCAGAGAAAACGTAGTGCTCGTTACACGTCCAGTATTATTAGATTTAGTCCCCGAGTATCTGCCTAATCTTGTGTTACGAGCAGTCACTTGGCTAAGATAATGTGCCCGGCGCAAATCCCGGCTAAGCACAACAACTTATCAGGTAAATCTTATTACACTCTTACTCGCGCCCGAGTCGAGCATTTTTCAATGGCTGCCTCTGATCTCACGCCGGCGCAATTTAAATAAATGCAAAGCCCTGCTCTTACTAACGAGGACAACAAAGTTTTTCGCCCAAGCGGTGCTTCTAGGGGATCTCGAGAAGGGAAGAACTCTTAATGCGCCGAGATAGTAAACGAAGCGAATAAATTCGGCGATGGAAAATTTTTAGGTGTTAAAGTACATGTGTTGTAGTTTGGCAGAAAGTCCAATCATAATTACATGTTACAATTATAACGATTACGTTAAAGCATAGTCGAAAAAATATATGTGGTCGCAAACGCGACACAAAGTAAGCACACAAAACCAATGTCAATATTATCAGGCATTAAATACACAATCATTCTATCTCTATTATGTTTTTAGCTCGTAATTCGAGACGATCAATTACTAAAATTGTGTCTCATAAAACATGGCTTGTATACAGGGATGAAAGGCCAATCGACGCTCTTGTTTATACATGTTTTGACGATCCGAAAAAAGTGGACAATATATTTACACAATTTGAGCATATACACTTGAAAATACATCCGAGTGTGCACTGCGTAGGACGACGTCACGAGCTGCGAGTTATCGAGTTCTTTCGAGTTTAAGGTAAATATGTACTCATTTGGTACATAAAACATCGATGAACTAATGAGTATAAATATAGTAATATTCTGAAATCGTTTCTCGTATAGCCCTGAAATGTTCTACGTTGGTCATAGTATCATTGCTGCTGTGCCTCATCAAGGGTTGAACTTAATTTGGACCTATTGAATCTTTGTACAAAGAGCAGAATAACAATAATATTCTGCGCCTAATAACTATGTAGTCACCAACAAGTTTGAATTCTAAAAATTCGGTGTATAATTCTGAAGATTATAAATAAAAAATTTACAGCAACAGGAATCGAAGTCCATAAAGATATATTCTTAGAAAGGTCAATTGGACGAACGAAGAAATTGTCAATTACACGTATCCTCGTGTGAAATGTCAAAAGCCATCTGAGGCAGAGTGAAAATGCGAAAGCCACAGAACAGCAGCGACAACAAAATAGAAATGTAAATTGTCCTGGAATCGTAGATACAGAGTCTCTCGTAGATTCGATAGTCGTCGTCGTCGTCGACGAGGGCAAAATAGCGACTGGAGGCTTTCGAGGCACACAAGCTCGTTAAAATTCGCCGGAGAGATCCGAGCCGAGTCGAGAGCAGCAATGTATGGCGCGCGGGAGGGTGCGTGGAGCGTAGTACACAGTATATAGTACTCGTCGTAGTCGTGCTGTTTGCTCGGGCAACCCTCGCGCGCGAGTCTTATTATATAGCGGAGTCGAGGCTGCTGCTGCTGCCGCACGATGCGCTCTCGAGAGCGCCTACATCGCAGTAGGTAGCTATGGTAGCTGCTATATATATATCTACATTATACACGAACGAAAGCTCGAACTGCGCAGGAGAGATAGGATTCCGCAGTATATATTCGCGAGATACGAATGTTTGTCCGTGTGCGGGCGTGCGAGTGTATCCAAAGGGTTCCCGCTATTATATACACCGACAGCTCACGAGTTTTATTATTGCTTTTTTTTTCTTTGCACCAACATGGGAGCAGTTTTTATATATTGCACCGTAACGTATAGTATAGAGTCGCACAGCTCGTCCGAACTCGTCCAGGTTTTTGTCCAAAAACATGGCATTAATTCGCAAATGGGCAGATATATTCGCGATGGTATAATCACATCGAGCTGTATACATGCAGTATATGCGCTCGCGCGGGGGCACAGTCATATATACCTAAGCCAGCCCATGCGACCGCACACACACCGTCGAAGATTACCCCAACAATTCTAGTATATTACAGAGAGAGAGCAGCAGCTAGTGCACGCGCGCGCGGCAGCCAAACAGCTCGTAATAGCGTATTATATATGCGTCTAGAATTTGCCAAAGCCCGAAATGGGGCTAGCGCGTAAAATACATGCCTTTCCTGCTATGCGTACACATGCCTATTATACGTTTATGCACGCGCGCAGCGAGTTATCCGCGTGTATTATAACGCGTTCGCAAGCGCTGTATAGGTTGCACGAGCGACCCTCGTTTTTCGACGGGTTTGCTGCTCGTTACAAAAAGTGTCGAATAATCAAAACGAATCCGCATGTATTTTTTATCGTTTATTTTGAGCGGCCGAATGGGCCGTTTTTCATAATAAGCAGATTAACCATTTATCGAGCGTATATAACAGCGTCGAGCAATCTTCGTCGAGACGCGCGCACGCAACGAAAACCGGCAGTTGTATCGGAGCTTATCGAGAAGATGGAAAAAAGCTCACGCTCTCTCTTACTCGCGTTCAGCTCTTAGCACCTTTTACGAGTTCTCGGAAAAAACCCGCTGCCGCATGCTGCTGCTCGCATCGAAACTACATCGTCCGAGCAAAGTAATACACGTACAGCTACCACTGTACTGTCGCTGAAGTAGCCAAGATGGGGCTCGCTATGCATAATAAACTGCAGGCGCAGTCCATGCTTCACGAGCGCACGAAATACTGTGGGTCGCAGTACACGCACGTGCACGCGTAATACGAGTCCGCTGCTCCGCTACGTTACTGCAAACCCCTTGGCATATTGCAGCCGCTACGCTTCTCTCGTTCGCGCGTACATTAATTTGCCGCGTATGCGCAGCACTGACTGCATTAAAGCCGTTTGTAAATATTACAGCTGCCACGAGCCATCGGAGTAATTAACACATTTCACGCGGTTTTGCCGCGAAGCCTGATGCAAAGACCGATCGAGTCGATTCACACCTTCTTGTCTTTTCTTAATCCAGCTCGTCTTTTCTTTTCTCCAGTCTGAGTACAAACAAAAGCCTGCCACCAAGCCAACGGTGGGAAGCAATAAATTTTGGATATTAGGCGGTTACGCGTCGCAACCAATAAGCTCGTCGTGGCAACGCGTGTGTACGCGTGTAGTAACGAACCGAGCTTCGATTTTGCTGCCGCGGCGCACGTGTACACCTATAACTTGCGCATACTACACATTATACATAGTGTAAGGCGAGCATTACCTGTGCTACATGTGTGTCCGTGTGTGTGTGTACACGAGCATTAAGAAGAAGCCCTTGTTTCTGCCCGACTCGCGGGGATTCTTCGAGTCAGAATAATATTCGCAGCGCTTGCCTCGCTCGTTTTTTCTTCGTTCTTTCCTCGCGATATCGCCTTACACGCATCTAGAGCGTAACGCGCGCTAATACCCCCGAAAAAAAAGCGCCAACGGCGTGTCGAGACTATGCTGCGCTTCCGCTTAGACAACGCGTCAGCCTGTGTAACGACGAAATTCTCATCTTCTTTTTTCCTCCTTTTTGTTCTCTCGGAGATTTTCTGTTATGAGAATTTCCGAATCGGAGGATATGGTGCTTAATACGTGAAAGTCGTCGTATGCGAAGCCAGTGCGCGCAAATCATCGTCGTCGTCGATTGCGTAGTATGCGTGCACGAGGGATCGAGATAAGGAATGTTCTCGAGCGAGCCTCGAGTCACTCGAGTAATGTAATGACGAGAGTCGAGTCGCAGCACCCCCGAAATTGGAACAATTACCCTCTTACGGGCGCTCATCTTGCGAGTCCTGCAAATCCGCAATTTTAATAAAAGCCCCGCGTGTGTCGGCGAGCTGTCGTATTCTCTCGTACACACGCTTGGCTTATACGCAGCCTATATATAATATAAGAGCGAGCAAAAGGGATTGGCTAAAAGAGAAATTAGAAACTCCCCCTCGTACGTAGCGTCTAATCTATCCCGTCTTTTCAGCAGATTCGAGGACGTCGCCAGCTGATTATCTGCGGGGCACATCTCACACATAAACGGCGGACTGATTGACGCGTTTTCTCTCCTATATTCTCTCTGTGTATTGCGCGCACTTAGTTTCGCTCTCTCGAGATGGCTGCATCAGCCTCGTCGTCGGGCCAAGTACAGTACATCTGTCAACGCACTCATCGGCTCTTCTCGTGCCCTTCCTTCCGCTCGCTTGGACGCGCCGAGAGCTCCAATGCAATTGCGATAGCGGCTGCTTTCACGCCTTATTTCGAAAACCACTCGTTTTTCTTGTCATCGACTCAGCTTGCGGAAAAGTCAGTTTTTGCCGCCCAAGTAACGACCGTCAAAAAGTCAATTAATCGACTCTAGCTCGGTAATATTCGAGTTGTGCCCGAGGAAGAATCTCGTCCAGCGAGGGACATAGGTATGGCAGGCGGTATGCGCATGTATATACAGTAGCGGCAGGCAAACGGCAGGCATTGATTAAAGTTTTCGTCTGTAGTTCAAGCCAAGTACGCAAGGGAAACGCTGCCGGCAGCTCTTCTTCTGTTGCTGCTGCTGCTGCTGCTGCCGCTGCCACGGCTGCCACGGCTGCTCGTCGACGACTAATTAACAGCTCCCAAGACTTGTTTCGAGCTTTCGCGCCGCTGACGCCGCGCGTCTGTGCCAGGGCTGTCAGTTATGTCAAGAGAGTCTGTTTACTTTCTTGGGAAGCTACACTTGCTAGGCCGTGCCGTAATATACCCGTATAAAGAAGGAACTACGCCGCGTCGCAGTGTAGGAGCGGGTAAAGTGCGATTCGAAGCAGGCACGACCGGTCGATTCGCTACACTCGATGCACCTTCGCGATCCGATACAGCTCGTCGTCGCATCGAGTTAATTGAGTAGTTTGCTGTTTTAAAACGAGTACACGCAGATATATATAATGAGTACAGGTAATGCGAGCGACATCAAAAAATGCATACGTATCTTATACGCGCAATGGCTAGCCGTTCGACATAGATCGCGCGTACATACGCTCGAGTCTGCGCGGATGAAATTTATTCGCTGTCGACGTCGCGATTACTTCGCCAGTCTGAGTATCGGTCGATCGATAACGATCGGCTTCCATCCGTTTCACGGCGAAGCAAAAACCTCTCACTGTCCTGCCACCCGGCGAAAGTCGTGTGCCAACTGCTGCTGATGCTACTACTGCTTCTAAGGTGCTCTCTCCTACGCATACGACACAAAAGAATCGAGGGTTGCCGATATGCCGCAGGCGCGCATTTCCAGAGGGGTAGCTCATCTCTCTCTCTCTTTCTCCTTTTTCTTGCTCTTGATATATACAACTCGCAGGCAGAAAAACGAAAGAGAGAAAGAGAGAGAGAAAGCGACGCAGGGAAAAAGAGAAAAGGCTCGTCCCCCCAATGTTGAGGGTACGGCGTCATTGGTAGATTTCAAGCTCGGCGAGAAAAAAGAGAGAAAGAGCGGGTCAGTGGGACATGTGGGATAGGTATAAGATCGTACACCGGCGCCACTTCGATCACGGGGTGTGTACTCGACTCATGGACGCCACAGCTATACGCATCTCGACTCGAGGCGCAGCTGAAAACCTCAGGCCGGCGCCGGCACTGGGGGCAAGTCCGCGCTCGATCGCTACCGGTAGGCGGAGGAAAACTACGCCTAAAGCTCGATGTATCGATCGGTGAGGCCATGTTGAACCAAACTCATCGTGTACACCTACACTGAGCGCTTCAATGGTCTCGATGATCGAGCAGCTCGATGACCGCTTGCTCTTCTCTTTCGTTGTGATCGGCATCGGACAACTCGACGAATCTCCAGAAACGACCGTAAAAAGCCTCGAAAAAATACCCAAACGTTTCCGCTATAACGTACACAAATATGATGCGTAGTATTGCAGCTAACGAGAAGATTAGAACCCGGATTCGTGAAAAGAAGCCGTCTGCGTTGGAGTAATCTGCAAAATATCGACGTGAAACTATAAAATCCTGATGTTTTGTTTGCGCGTTGCAGAAGGCAGCGGTAGTACGGGAGGATT